CCAAAGTAACAAAGGCTACCATCAGTAACACACTACGCCGCCAGGGACTCAAATCCTGCAGTGCCAGACGTGTCCCCCTGCTTAAGCTAGTACATGTCAAGGCCCGTCTCAAGTTTGCTAGAGAGCATTTGGATGATCCAGACGATGACTGGGAGAATATCATATGGTCAGATGAAACCAAAATAGAACTTTTTGGTAAAAACTCTACTCGTCGTGTTTGGAGGAGAGAGAATGCTGAGTTGCATCCAAAGAACACCATACCTACAGTGAAGCATGGGGGGGAAACATCATGCTTTGGGGCTGTTTTTCTGCTAAGGGACCAGGACGACTGATCCGTGTGAAGGAAAGAATGAATGGGGCCATGTATCATCAAATTTTGAGTGAAAACCTCCTTCCATCAGCAAGGGTATTGAAGATGAAACGTGGCTGGGTCTTTCAGCATGACAATGATCCCAAACACACCGCCCGGGTAACGAAGGAGTGGCTTCGTAAGAAGCATTTCAAGGTCCTGGAGTGGCCTAGCCAGTCTCCAGATCTCAACCCCATAGAAAATCTTTGGAAGTAGTTGAAAGTCCGTGTTGCCCAGCGACAGCCCCCGAACATCACTGCTCTAGAGGAGATCTGCATGGAGGAATGGGCCAAAATACCAGCAACAGTGTGTGAAAACCTTGTGAAGACTTACAGAAAATGTTTGATCTCTGTCATTGCCAACAAAGGGTATATAACAAAGTATTGAGATGAACTTTTGTTATTGACCAAATACTTATTTTCCACCATATTTTGCAAATAAATTCTTTAAAAATCAGACAATGTGATTTTCTGGATTTTTTTTTTCTTATTTTGTCTCTCATTGTTGAGGTATATCTATGATGAAAATTACCGGCCTCTCTCATCTTTTTAAGTGGGAGAACTTGCACTATTGGTGGCTGACTAAATACTTTTTTGCCCCACTGTATATATATACATACACTGCTCAAATAAATAAATGAAAAACCTGAGCCTAATGTGCAAACAAAACGATGGGCTTTTACAGCTTGGCACTATGTTGGTCAGTTTATTTAATAATATGCAATTCACTGTGTGTATGCAAATCTAATTCAGGAAACAGAAAAAAATTTCTTTTTTTCTTTTTTCCTTGACAAAAACACATCTGATAAGATAGCTTTAAGTAAATGGCAAAAAAATTCCCATGCAACTGGACTGCAAAACTGTATTTTTTGTGCATTGTTGCATGAAAGGTTGGTGTTTTGTAACACATCAAATCATTATTATTTACTTTGTACACATGCAAAATGCATGTATGCAAAATGAAATTACATTGCATACTGCTTACAACAGTGAAATGAACATTACTATTATAAAGTGCAGCAGTGATCATCGGGTAAACATATAGGAGAAAAGGAAAACCAATTTAAAATATAATGGTGCAAAATGGTATTAATATGGAAAGGTTCGATGCAGTGCAAAATAAATATGGTGCAAAATGCAGTAGAATATTGCCTTGTGTCCTATTGAAAAGGATTCTAAAAGTTTCAGCCATGTTGGTAGTGCAAAATAATGTTGCCAGTTTGACAGTCTTTTTAGACTGCGAGACCACACCTGTAAGAAGTCAGTTTTTCTTTTGGCATGACGGTTGTATGAAGCAATGTAAAATGACTTAGACTTAGACAAACTTTTGTGTCTATGAGAGTCAGATTAAACTAGCCGTTTGCAAATGAAACCTTTGGGCATGCAATAAACTTTTCTGTAATCCTAAATTTCTGTCTTGTATTTTCTGATTGGTTTGATGTAATATTTTAATCTTACATGTATTCTGAGTAAAAAAACAAAACTCTTGCCTGGTCACCTTAGGACATTCTCATAAGGGTTCTGAAGCCACTTTTTTTAATATCTTGCCTGTGTTGTTTGAAGAATTACAACAGAGAATTGCCACAGTTTTCAACTAGAAAGTCATTGCACATCAAAGACAATCTCACCTGGTCTGTAAACACCACCTCACTGTCCAAAAGGGCACAGAACCACTTGTACTTCCTGCGGAGGATGAGGAGAGCCCACCTGCCCCCACCCATCCTCACCACCTTCTACAGAAGCACCATACAGTAGAGAGCGTTCTGACCAGCTGTCTCACTGTGTGGTGTGGAGGCTGCAGCACCTCAGACTGGAAGAAGGTAAGAAGAGTTGTGAAAACAGCAGGGAGGATCAACACAGCTCCTCTTCCCTCCATTAATGACATTTCATCCCAGTGCTGTGTCTCCTCACACCCCCACCATGGACGGTTCTCCCTGCTTCCATCTGGGAAGAGGCTTTGCAGCCTCCAGTGAAGTTTCAGCAAGTTGTGCAACAGCTTTTTCCCCGCTGACATCAGAATGATAAACTGTTAAAAACTAAACCGGACTCTTTCTCAAACTGGCAACATTATTTTGCACTACCAATGTGACTGAAACCTTTATAATCATTTTCAATAGGACACAACACAATGTTCTACTGCATTTTTGCACCATATTTATTTTGCACTGAACTGAATCTTTCCATATTAATAACCTTTTGCACCATTATTTTCAAAACTGGTTTTCCTTTTGTTTTTATGATGATCACTACTGCACTTTATAATGGTAATGTTTATTTCACTGTTGTATGTAGTATGCAATGTAATTTTGTTTTGCATACAATTGTTGTATACAAAATGACAACAACGTTTTTCTAAGTCTAAGTCATTTTACATTGTTTCATACAACTTTGTCACTTACAAAGTTGTTGGCACCCCTCGTTAGAAAAGAAGAGATGGTGACAGAAATAACCTGAATCTGACAAAATTAATAAATGAAAACTCTTAAAATAACTATTAAAATATATATATATATTTATATTTAAATTTATACATACACTGCTCAAATAAATAAATGGAACACTTAAGAAATCACACAAAAATCAGCAATGGAAAAGAGAAACACTACAGGCTGATCCAACTTTGATGTACTGTCCTTAAAACAGGTCAAAATGAGGCTCAGTATTGTTTGTGGCCTCCATGTGCCTGCACGGCCTCCCTACAATGCCTGGGCATGCTAATGAGGAGGTGGCGGGGTTCTCTTGAGGGATCTCCTCCCAGACCTGGCCTAAAGCATCCATAAGCTCTTGGACAGTCTGTGGTGCAAAATAACGTTGATGGATTAAGACATGATGGTCCAGATGTACTCAATTGGGTTCCGGTCTGGGGGACAGGTGGGCCAGTCCAAAGCATGAATGCCTTCATCTTGTGGGAACTGCTGACACACTCCAGCCACACGAGGTCTATCATTGTCCTGCATTAGGAGGAACCCATGGCAAACCGCACCAGCATAGTCTCACAAGGGGTCAGAGGATCTCATCTTTGTACCTAATGGCTGTCAAGCTACCTCTGGTGAACACATGGAGGGCTATGCAATCCTCCAAAGAGGTCATGCTGAAGGATGTTGCAGGCAGCAGATCGCTCTCCGCTGTGTCTCCAAACTCTGTCACATCTGTCACATGTGTTCAGTATAAACCTTTTTCATGCCTTTTTTGTTCTCTGGCAAATGCCAAGTGCCCCGAACGGTGTTGGGCAATGAGCAAAACCCCCATATTGGGAAGTTAGGCCCTCATACCATCCTCATTAGGTAGGTTTCAAAACGTTTGTGCAGCCACATGCACATTTGTGGCCTGCTGGAGTTCATTTTGCATGGCTCAGGCAGTGCTCCTCCTGTTCCTCTTTGCACAAAGGCAGAGGTAGTGGTACTGCTGCTGGTTTGCTGCCCTCCTACTTCCTCCATATCCTGGTGTACTGGCCTCTCTCTGGTAGGACCTCCAGCCTCTGGACACTACACCGTCAGACACTTCAAACCTTTTTGCCACAGCTCGTTGTAATGTGCCATCCTGGATGAGCTGCACTACCCAAACCTCTTGTGTGTGTTGTTGAGTCCGTCTCATGCTACCACGAGTGTGAAAGCACCGCCAACATTCAAAAGTGACCAAAACATCAGCCAGAAAGCATTGGTACTGAGAATTGGTCTGTGGTCCCCACCTGCAGAACCAGTCCTTTATTGAGTGTGTCTTTCTTAATGCCAATAATTTCCACCTGTTTCTATTCAATTCGCACAATAGGATGTAAAATTAAAAGTTATTCCTCTAACAAATGTTCTTATTCATTAAATGTGGGGTACCAACAATTTACTCCACATATGCAGATGACTGGCCAGCACTAGGAAGACTCCTGGTGGTTTAAAACCTATATTTTCACATGAAGGATGCCACTCTGTGTTCATTGGGTCCTTTAAAGCAGTATGCCTCTGTCTTGCAGATCTATAGAGGATTTCTGTTTTCATGCAGCCAAAGCCCTTTGAGATTTTGAAAAGGGAACTATAAATAAAATGTTCTGCTTTGTGTTGACACTTCGACTTGAACTTCCAGTTGTCAGATCTTATATGGTAGGGTTTGTTCATTTCCTCATATCCAATCGATGGTAAAAGGATACGGATTCTGAAGTGCTAAAAGGCACTTCAGAATATGTGGCAAAAGGGTAATTTAGCGAACTGGTGTCAATCACCATAACTTTAAAGCCTATCAAGGCGGGCTCTTTAAAATCCGCCTAAGCATCCAAAGAGTTGAGTTTTAAATGTATTTGCAGTTTTTAGCAATATTTGCAATAACTCCATACCGCCGTTCTAGTACGTCTTATTGGAATCAATACTTTATGCATGTATGTGCACACATCAGCACACCATTAGAGTCATGCTTCACACTGCTAATGTCTAACCAGTCAGAAAACTAATTCTGGGATAACCCCTACCCCACAAGGAACCTACACCATTCAAATAGCTGGGATTCAAAACAGCTAATTTCACTATTACTGATTTCCATGTCTGCACAACATGCTTAACATTTTAACTGTGCTTAAAATAGAATAGCCATCTACAATTAGTTTTCCAAGTATTAAATCAAAACTCTCTAAACCAATTTTTTTCCAAAAGTCAAGCACACAATACAGATTTTGGGAGTTACATCTGCAATTTATTGCCAAATATCACCCTTCAATGTATAATAGTAATGTTTCTGCACTGACAGAAACCAGTGAAACATCCCAACCAGTGCTTTATTAAATTCGAAGTTCACATACAAGCACTGAGAGCTAAAACAAGGGTTCCAACTGAGAGACCAATAAAGACAACAATATTTAAAATGGGAAAAAAAAGAAAGGAAAATGTCATTTTAAAACTTTATTTATGTACCAATTGTCATGATTATTTAAATAGATAAATCTTTGCAGTGAAGTAATTCAGAAGAAGTTTCTTGAAAAAATAAAAACACTAACATTTTCACCCACCCCCTAAAACAAGGCTAGTTACTACACAGGCACCTTGTACTACCCGAATAATAGAGTCCATGAAACACCCAGCAGGGATCGGGAAAACATGCAGATGGTAACAGGGCACGTCCTGGTTCGGTGATTAAGACAGTTTTCTTTGGGGAACCCTCAAATTGAAGAAGATGACATCTGCATCCCCCTGTCCAGCTGGACCGACAGGACAGTTGGAGTAATCCTTTACAGAAACCAGTCATGAAAGAAGATAATAGGAAAGGTCAACGGGAGAAGGAGCAGTGGAACCGCCATGGCCCGTTCACCGCTGTTTTTGGAGGGGGTGGCGGTGGTGGCGTTGTTGCCCTCAGCGGCCTGGACCACCTGAAAAAAAAGATATGTTTGGTTATAACCAAAGCAAATTACATTTAGGTGAGACTGGCTTCCTTCAAGACCCCCACCCCTATATACAGTTGGACCCTACCCCTCCCCCGCAGGACAAAAATAATGTTAAAGGGTGTGCAAGTGGTTAGCGTGCACAACCCATGTACAGAGGCCTTAGCCCTCGATGCGGCCGACCCGGGTTTGAATTCGACCTGTGGTCCTTTGCCGCGTGTCTCTCCCCCATCTCTCATACCCCCTTTCCTGTCAGTCTGTTGAAAAAAAGAGCCACCGGAGCCGTAAAAACTAAAAAAAAACAAACAATAGATGTTTGAGATGATCTTAAAAACCAAAACTATTTTTTCCATGTAGTCATATTGACCTTACATACTACCTAGTTACCATGTTCTAAAATATATGTTTAAATACCAGCGAAACCCAAGATGAAGAACTAGTTAAAATCAAGAATATACAGATTGTCTGTGAATCTGACTGGGAGGAATGCGTCATTAGATCATTAAATCAGCATTTCCATGTTTAGATTAGTTTATTAAATATTTAAGATGTCTGTGCTGTTAAACATCACTTTTTTTTTCTTTGGATAAACTTTACATGCACGTTTCCCCCCTTACAAACAATTACAGAGGCTTTGCTCCAGGTACTTAGAGATTCAGTTCCATACAGAAAGCCCAAATTCATATCTTCAGATAACACAGAGTACATGTCAGACTTAATAATTTTACTTTAGCGATAGTTTCAAGGTGTTGCTTTATTGTTTGTCTCGTACCATGTCTTGCGGTTGTGTTGTTCTTTTTTCATCTCGTTACAGGTGATGAAGCAGACTGAAAATGTTTTGTCATTGTCTCCTTTCTATCTCTTCTTTCTTTCATCTTTTTTTTTTCTTTTTTCCTTTTTCTTCTTCTGTTTTTCTGCTCTATTTACATTGCAGTGTCCATATAAACTGTAAAACTCCTCACTTTTTTTTCTAACTTTTTGTTTTATTATTTTAAAACAGGCTTTTTTGATGCCACAAGCATCTTAATAAGTTGTGTTTGTGGTGTTGATTTAGGCTATTTATTAATGGTATTTGAAAAAGTTTAAAAATGTAAATGTTTAATCTCTGCGTATGCATTTTTTCATAAAATAAAAATTCTCAGAGCAATATGCTCATTGATGAAAAAAAAAAAAAAAACAGAAGCTGATTTGTGCAATTAGATGGACTGATGAAATGGTGCAGCAGCCCCAGGGACAGGGTCTGTTGCAACAGTTCACTCTTGTCAGCACCAAGTAATCAGATTACTTGGCACTTAATTGGCATCTAACATATGATATTGGCCATTAACAGGTAGATACAGCTTTAATAAATACATAAAATGCTGCTGCAGGACCATTCATCTCTGATTTATTGAGAAAGAGGGGGGAAAAAAAGGTTTCAAACGTCCTCTGTCGCCTCTACCCACAGGTAAAGAGGAGCCCTAATACCAAAGGAGAGCGCAGACTTCCTAAATTCAAATTTGACATTAGGGAAATTTTTAAAATGCCACTAGAGATCAAAAGCAGAAGTTTATCCTTTTAATTAAGTCCTCAAAAGATGAATAATCAAATGCACTCACCGAAAAAAAAAAATCTATAAATTTAGAAAATTATATTTAAGGAGCAAACTAACCTGAAGTGAGAGGCACAAAGCCAGCACCAGAGCTGAGAGCAAAGCGACGCAAAGTTTGGTCATCTTGCTGGTTGATGATCAGGCAGCACTTCCAGATGGGTGGAAAATAGTTGCAAAAGTGATTCAAACAGGGGGTCCAAGGTGGTGATTTATACTGCAAGTGACATCAGCACAATCGTCATCGACCGCAATTTGTGATGCGCATGCCGCTATGGCAAAACGACCTGCCATAGCTTTAAGACAGTCTCACTAAGTTTTTATCGATCACGCATACACCATGAAATACGGTAGCAAGGCTGTCTTGGACTTTCAAAATAAAACAGACAAATTGAACATGTGTTGTTAACATAGATTTATGCAAATAGTTTTAATGCCTTTATTTAGTTACTGTCCTGCGTGGTTAATATGTGCTCTTTATGTCAGAAGTCCAATTTATTTGAACTTAATCTCTATTGTTGCTAAACCAAAACTTTGTTTCTATTTACTGATTCCACTTCAGGGTGAAAATACAGTCCGTCTGATGTGGAATTTCAAAATTAAAGCCTCTCAACCTCTTTAAAGGTGCGCAATATTTTACTTTGTTGCTGGTTTGTCATTTAGATCCTTTTTTTCATTATTTCAGCAATTCGTTTTTCTTAATTTAAATGATTTTGGTCTTACTGCTTGGAAAAACACGATATTTTAAACACATAGATTGGCTGTTATGACCTGCACAATAAAGTGGGAAAAACTGATCTGACTCTAGTCTCGGAGACAGCAGCTGCTTAATGGAAATGAGCCACTGTGGCTCATTTCCATTAAGCTGGAAATGAGCCACTTACTCAGTATGGAAATTAGCCACTTACTGAGTAAGATCATGGAAAAAGTTCACTATCTAAAATCGACTAATATTAAACATATTAGTAGCAGATCAAGTGAGGGATATATATGCACAAAACATGCACAAACAACAGGGATTATTAAATTAGAAAACAACTTAATAAAAAATATGTCAGATATGTAATGTGAAGAATGGTCATGATACTTTTTAAAAGTAATCTTAATTCTATATAACCATTATGCAAGTAGATAAGTAAATCCTACAAACATTGCACATATTTTTTTTTTTTTTTGCAAGGTTCAGTTTAATTCAGTATTATTGCCAATTCACAATCTTATCTCAAGGTACTTAACTACCACACTGTTAACCTGCAGTTTGTAAACAGAACAATCCAATCTTTGATATACGATATCCCGTCTTGTCTGAATTTAAAAGGGAAACTTTTTACATCTTCAAGACATCCCCGAGACTAATTGGTTTCATCAGGATTTATGAATGATTGTGTTGAAAATTCTACAAGTTTAAAAGGGATATTGAGCAAAGAAAGAAGCACTGAACCCTGATATCCCTGTTGAGGTTTGAGCCTTCCTCTATTAAAGTTAACAGCAAGAAATTAGAGCCCTGATTAGACAACGCACCAAAAATAATAAATCACTTCAAGTCAGGCTAAACCTCTTAGGGAGTCTATGGAGCAGACGCGGACCGGGAAGCTGGCTCCTCCATGCTGATTGGCAAACATACTTAAGGATTTTTGATTGACAGGGGCCAGAAGTTTATTTTATTAGTTTATTACTTTCAGAGCACTTCACAACAGCTATTTACAGCTATTATAATGTGTGTGTTTCTACATTTTTAAATAAAAATATATTTATGCAAAACAGGACATTTGGATTTGATTAACACCATAGAGCCTCCCTTGTTTTAGTGAGCAGCAACCGTCATTGGATTCAAACCAGTTTTTTGCTGTTTCCTGAATCCCTACATAATGTTAAATCCTTTCTAGGAGAACAGCTTTATTCACTGCAATCAATACAGCGCCTGATCTAACAGGATAAATACAGACAAGTCCATAAATTTAGTGAATTCACCAGTGATTTTCAATGCCAAGATCAGCTTTCAACATGACTGAAACTCTTCACATAGGTCAATATGGTGTCAACATTCACACACTTGATTAGCAACTGTTTTCTCAATCATTTTAAATAAGAACTTTAGATGTTTACAATTTGCTTAGTCCTCTAAAGGTTTGGTTACAGTTTCCTTAAGAGCCTCTGGCACATATTCCTGTACTGGTGTGGATTCATCATATCCAAAATAAGGGTGCAAATCATACGGAAAATGTCCTTAAATAACTTGTTTGGGATGGGGTCCAGCATACAAGCTGGTTTAGATTAGGCTAATATTTTAGATGATTCCAAAAGCTGAACTGGATCAAAGAGACCAGGCTCTATTGGTAGCTCACGAACAGAACTGTTAATATTCAGAAAGATGCCAATGACATTTCTAAAAGAACCAATCCTATTTATAAAGAATCCCATAAAATCATTGCTGCTGAAAGATGGCGAAATGGAAGAAAGTAGCTATGACTGTGCAAGTTTTGACATCTGCATTAAATACAGGTGCTGGTCATAAAATTAGAATATCATGAAAAAGTAGATTGATTTCAGTAATTCCATTTAAAAAGTGAAACTTGTATATTATATTCATACATTACATACAAACTCATATATTTCAGATGTTTATTTTGTTTAATTTTGATGATTACAAATGACAACAAATGAAAATCTCAAATTCATCATATCAGAAAATTAGAATATTGTGAAAAGGTTCAAAATTGATGGCCCCTGGTGCCACACTCTAATCAGCTAATTAACTCAAACCACCTGCAAAAGCCTTTAAATGGTCTTTCAGTCTAGTTCTATAGGCTACACAATCATGGGGAAGACTGCTGACTTGACAGTTGTCCAAAAGACGACCATCGACACCTTGCACAAGGAGGGCAAGACACAAAAGGTCATCGCTAAAGAGGCTGGCTGTTCACAGAGCTCAGTGTCCAAGCACATTAATAGAGAGGCGAAGGGAAGGAAAAGATGTGGTCGAAAAAAGTGTACAAGCAAGAGAGATAACCGCACCCTGGAGAGGATTGTGAAACAAAACCCCTTCAAAAATGTGGGGGAGATTCACAAAGAGTGGACTGCAGCTGGAGTGAGTGCTTCAAGAACCACCACACACAGACGTATGAAAGACATGGGTTTCTGCTGTCGCATTCCTTGTGTCAAGCCACTCTTGAACCACAGACAGCGTCAGAAGCGTCTAAAGAGAAACAGGACTGGACTGCTGGTGAGTGGTCCAAAGTCATGTTCTCTGATGAAAGTAAATTTTGCATTTCCTTTGGAAATCAAGATCCCAGAGTCTGGAGGAAAAGAAGAGAGGCACTTCATCCACGTTGCTTGAAGTCCAGTGTAAAGTTTCCACAGTCAGTGATGGTTTGGGGTGCCATGTCATCTGCTGGTGTTGGTCCATTGTGTTTTCTGAGGTCCAGGGTCAACGCAGCCACATACCAGGAAGTTTTAGAGCACTTCATGCTTCCTGCAGCTGACCAACTTTTTGGAGATGCAGATTTCATTTTCCAACAGGACTTGGCACCTGCACACAGTGCCAAAGCTACCAGTACCTGGTTGAAGGACCATGGTATCCCTGTTCTTAATTGGCCAGCAAACTCTCCTGACCTTAACCCCATAGAAAATCTATGGGGTATTGTGAAGAAGAAGATGCAATACACCAGACCCAACAATTCAGAAGAGCTAAAAGCCACTATTAGAGCAACCTGGGCTATCATAACACCTGAGCAGTGCCACAGACTGATCGACTCCATGCCACGCCGCATTGCTGCAGTAATACAGGCCAAAGGAGGCCCAACTAAATACTGAGTGCTGTACATGCTCATACTTTTCATGTTCATACTTTTCAGTTGGCCAACATTTCTATAAATCCTTTGTTTTTATTGGTCTTCAGTAATATTCTAATTTTCTGATATGATGAATTTGAGATTTTCATTTGTTGTCATTTGTAATCATCAAAATTAAACAAAATAAACATCTGAAATATATGAGTTTGTATGTAATGTATGAATATAATATAAAAGTTTCACTTTTTAAATGGAATTACTGAAATCAATCTACTTTTTCATGATATTCTAATTTTATGACCAGCACCTGTAGAAACCCAGGATGGCAATGCACGAGGCAGTAACACTATTAAAAGTATTTGTAAAGGGATAGAAACTGAATTGTACAGTGTTGATGCTGAGAAGTTAAGGGAGCAGATTTGTCCTTTTGGAGAATAAATCCAAATTAGCCTTGGATTAAAAATCCAGATGGCACTTGTGAGGAAATAATTTTCACTGCCATATGTCAGGACAAGATCCTAAGCATGAAAACAAAAAGGCATTCTGTGCAGATTCAGAGAAAAGCCAATTGGGTTTGCGTTAGCCAATTATTGGTGTCTGACTAATATAACCCCATACTGCAGTGAACTGTATGTCATATAATCCCAAACCAGATATCAAGTATTGGAACTTAAAAAACTGCAAGAGCCTGTTAAATGTTAAGTTGTATTATCTGGCCAGCAAATTTTGAGAAAGTGGTTGCTCATCAGCAATTCTACAAATGTAAAAAAAAAAAAAAAGGAAACTTTAAAATCCTATCGCTGACAGGTTTGATTATAATCAGGTTAGCAAGTCTTTGCATGGATTATACAGTCAAACTAGGACTGAATGGTTGTGCAAAAAAAAAAAAAAAAAAAAATTTTGCACTAATGAGCATATATACACTTCAAGTTTACATGGTTTCATTACTTTAAAAGCCTGTGTGGAAAAGGGCTTGATTTTACCCATGCAAAGATCTGCAACTTGCATGTGACCCAGTTTATGCATATTACAGCCACCTAAAGGGCTGGAGTGAAAAAGCCAGTGTCTCAGTCCTGTTAATGTGACCAACACTGAGCTTTTGCCATTTGACTATTGCCATTTAGATTCAATATTTAAATGGAATTGTGCAACCCCAAAAGTCAAGCCACAGGATGCATGAATTGAGTAAAGTTCCTAAAAATTTCAAACAGCTTAAACTGTTCAAGCCAGCCACATCACAGCTCTGGTTTCAAGAGCAGTTTGACCACAATGTGGCGACAAGTCAACATTGCTCAGCAAAACAAAGGTGAGAGACGTGGAGTCAAGTAATCTCCGTTATGCATTTGTTCTGCCCTGCCACTGATCCAGGTTAATCTAGCATGCTAAATTTAAAATCAATGTGTGGTTTGAGCTCACCAGGTTCAGTGGCTGGACAGATGACTCCACATCTCCAACCCCTGCAAATGAAGGCTGAGTGGCGTCCTTCCCCTTCATTGACTGCAGTCACCATTACACAAGTCAACTTTTCTATACAGCTTTATTCAGTCAGGTTAAAAATTTCCATAGCTTATACAAAACGTTAACAAGGCCTTTCAAAACTCACATTTCTGAGACATCACAATGAACACAGATTAAGGTCAAAATTATTTTCACCAGTATGTAAAACATTAGACAGTGCTTTTTCAAAAAAAAAAATTACACAAGTTGGACCAGATCATAAGAGGAACCGGTTCAGTGCATAACAGACATCCAATTGTCCCCAAACTCCAACATATAAAGTGGCTTCTTAAATGTGGCAATGAAGCTCCCCAAAGGAAAGGCAACAATTTAAGTAGACAGAAGTCCAGTTTGATCCGGGCCTTTTACCGGGACCAGTGGTGCATAAGAGGAAACACCAGAATCAGGCAGAGCAAGAGCATCGGATACACGCCATCCTTCCCAGAAGGGCTGCCTGAGGTGGAATTGAAGGTGGAATTTGTCACAGAAACTGTACTATTGATGGTTGATGAGACACTGGCAGAGACCACTCCAATCTCAGTAGGGGGCAGGCTGACGGCACCATCATCAGTTGGGGTCACGCTGGCGGCGCCACCATCAGTTGGGGTCACGCTGGCGGCGCCACCATCAGTTGGGGTCACGCTGGCGGCGCCACCATCAGTTGGGGTCACGCTGGCGGCGCCACCATCAGTTGGGGTCACGCTGGCGGCGCCACCATCAGTTGGGGTCACGCTGGCGGCGCCACCATCAGTTGGGGTCACGCTGGCGGCGCCACCATCAGTTGGGGTCACGCTGACTGCGCCATCATCAATTGGGATCACGCTGACAGCGTCATCATCTGTTGGAATCACAGTGCTAGCCATAGTTGTGACACCCAGATCATACTGTCCCCGAACCACCTGCAATATTCAAAGAGTTCCCTTAAATATCTAAATAACTTCAAATCAAATGTAGAGGCTGAAATTTGGCGTATCAGTTATACTCAAAACTGTCTTACAGCACATTTAAGGTTTTCAATTGATGTTGTAAAGGGCATACAGAGGAAACATCAAGAAACAGACCTGTGGTGAAATATGGAAAACCACCAGGAGCACTGCAAGAAAAGTGCCACAAATCTGATTCATCTTGGCGATGGTCGGTGCTAACATGAATTCCTCCTACATGCTCCTGCCTTGGTTTTTATGCTATCCAGCAGGACCATGAACTAATAGATAACACCTGTTGTCTGTGTGCTGCCTTCAAGGACCATACGTAAATAATATTTCACTTTTCAACTGAGCAACAGAGCTATTCCAAAAGGAAAGCTGAGGTGGTTTCTAAAAAGTTTTTTTTTCATCATATATTTGAGTTTATATTTATTCAAATGACTCTAGCCTGCAGTTATCTAGGGATTTAGATATGCAAATTATGTCTGTAACAGAATTAAATGTAATCTAATATTTCCAGAAATGTTGGAGAAAGTCTGCCTGAGTAACATAAGCATCTATTTTGGAGATAATTCTGATTTGTAAAAAAAAAAAAGCTGTGAAGCACAAAAATCATTACATTGGACACCGAAAAATATAAGCATGCTTCTAAAATATCTTAATAATCCTTTTAACTTAAGTTCTTTTTGACCAAAAACAGAAATCTTAACTCAAAGCCTTAATTACCGGATTTAAAAATTGTATTATTTATACAGGATTCATTTTTACTTATTATACAATGAAGTTTCACAAAATAAATAAGTTGTTTCATTTCATTGTGATAATTATGAGGTTATTTATATTATGATTATGAGGTTATAAAAAACAAATCTGGGTATTAAAGAATCCAAAGTTAAGACTAGGTTTGTTCCCTAAATTTGTAAATCTTACTTAAATTTAAACAAGGGAAAACCTGCACAGATTACACCAGTTCTATCTATCTATCTATCTATCTATCTATCTATCTATCTATCTATCTATCTATCTATCTATCTATCTATCTATCTATCTATCTATCTATCTATCTATCTATCTATCTATCTATCTATCTATCTATCTATCTATCTATCTATCTATCTATCTATCTATCTATCTATCTATCTATCTATCTATCTATCTATCTAAGCTATGGAGAATCAGCGCCCTCTAGCGGTAATGTATAGATCGCTTGCCTCTTGGACCCACACTTATGTCCTGTAAGAAGTGGTAAATGCACCTTAAATTGGATTTGCCAACTACCGTAAATTACTGAAGAAGAATGTACTTTCTTGCTGAAGTTAATTATTATCTTATAGGTGGGTCATACATCCGAAATAAAATCTGTCATTAGGAACATATTTAAATCTTAATCAAAGTGGCTTTTTTATATATATATTTAACCTTTATTCAACCAGGAAAGAGATTAAAAACATGTTTTAAAAGGGTGTCATGGCGAAGAGGCAGCAGAAGTAAAAATAGATGAAAAACACGGGTAAACAGGTAGATTATGAAACAGAGGCGTAGCCAGAAAATCTTTATAAGGGTGGCCAGGCAATAACTAGTGTATTCTGAAGGGGGGCCGAAAATGGGTAGGCACCAGAACTTCAGGGTCAATCTACACTGTTCCAATAGGAAAATTAACAAGCAAACATCCATATCTGAATAAAGACAAACTATACTTTCCTACAGACTTTGCTAACAAATAGATGCATATATTTAAACATCCATGCTTTTTAGATAAAAGGTAAAGTGGATAAAATTCTTTCAGGTTTGAGTTCTGGAGCGAACATCTTTTCCATTGTCATTACTTACCTACTTTTATCAATAATCATCCTGCATAAAATTGATATTTACAAGTACTAATATCTAGATAAATTGATTCTTTAATGTGTTTTTATATTAAAATAGTTATTTATCTATGATTTCACTAAAGACTCCTAGATGAATGCAGACACATCATTTTCCTTTTACCCCATAAAACACAAAATTTAGTTCTGAAAAGAGCAGGAATTCTGTACTTATCATCTTTAATGTTAGTATATTGGTGTGCATAATTAACCACAGTGTTTTTGTTATCAAGTAATTATGAATATATGGAAAAAAAATAGTAAGTAATATATGACAAATTAAAATGTTTGGAATATTCCACTTGATTATTAGGGGGGAAACAATGGTAGGGGTGGCCAATGATTGGGTAAGGGTGGCCATGGCCACCCCTGGCCCCCCATCTAGCTCCGCCCCTGTTATGAAAGACAACCACAACTTGTCAACTTCTTTTATTAGTTCTCAACCTGGCCTTAAAGTTGCTCAATAGAACAAGTTTTAGTTTCCAGTCTTTTTGCAGGGTGTTCCTTGTTGAAGGAGCAGAGTGAACAGAAGCTCTTTTACCCAGTACAATCCAGGTTAATGGAACAGGGAGCAACAGGTTATCATCACAATGCAAAATAAAGGAAGCAAAGCTTTTCAGTGAAATCAAATTACACATATATGAGGATAGAAGGCGAAGACTTATAGGTAAAAATGTACGAGTGTTCCAAACACCAGGTGGACAAGTTAGACCATATCACTCCATGATGAGTCGAGGCTCTTTATGAACCTATAAGAAGCATGATAAAAAAAGGGGATTGATGGCCTAGTGGTTAGAGCAGTGCGATTGTGCTCTGAGAAGGTTGCAAATACTCAGTTTGATCCCCACAGCCTCCACTCTGGGTCCCTGAGGAAGACCCTTAACCCCACACTGCTTCCCAGGCGCCGCACAGTGGCAGCCCACTGCTCCCCAGGGGATGGGTTAAATGCAGAGAGTTAATTTCTCCATTGTGAGATCAATAGAGTTCAATTTCTATCCTTTTTTTCTTTTTACACAGAGTCAATCTTATGTAGAGAGTGAGCTGATGCATTGATGTACAAGTCCTTATAGTCTAAAACAGATAAAAGTTATAGTGACAAGCCAGTTTCTTTTGTCTCAAGTTAATTTTTTTAACAAGACTGTCAATATGAGGCTTGCAATAAAGGGAGTCATCAAGTAAGATTCCAAGGTATTTGTACAGGTGAACCACATGAATGATGGACACACTCTGGGCGGAGCTACAGGAATATTCTAAGTGTTGGAAAGCATCATCAGTTTAGTCTAGTTTAGTTTAAACTGGGAAATGGTTGAAAGTAGGATGGGAAAACCAGTAGGACCATCAGAAACTGGCAGAGTGACTCAGAGTAACTTAAAGATAAATTAGAAATAACGAGGAAGAATTTGATTAAGTATCTATTATGTTGGGTTAAATTAAACAGTTTGGAAAAATAGTATTCATTTTTTTTTTTTTTTCTGAAGGTGAGTCTTGTTTCCTGTTTCCTTGTTTAACTCCTTATCAGTTGATGGCGGTAATGCACTGTAACTAGTTTCCCAACCGACATAAAACATTATCAGAAGAAGAAGTCCTCTCGGCCTTGAATGGAGTCTTAAAGGAATATTGGGAGATGAAGGAAATATAAAGGATATTCACAGATTAAGGAAAGCTTTATTTATTTATCTAAACAATACAAAATAAAAAAATAGAATTTGATGTAAAGTAATGTTGCTACACACTCGTGTACAGTAGGTGGCGGTATCCGCCGTAAAGTTGCCTGCGATCCACCAAAATAGAAAAGAAGAAGAAGAAGAAGAAGTCCTGTCTGCAAATTCTTCCGGGAGAAACACAAACTAATCAAACTAGAAGGACGAAATATGACAACACACTGAGTAACCTCAGTTGTAAAGCAGACACAGACCAGTTTAGCTTTAATTATTGGTAGTGTTACCCTTTTTATTTTTATTTTTACCCTTTGAATTGACTCCCCTCTCCATGCTGCTGTGCCGGGTGTCGCCAGTGTACCAGATGCTGGCTAGATGGGGACGGAGGTCACAGCAGGGAGGCCTTCTTCTCAGCCGCGCGGTGTCCTGCACCTCCAGCCGCTTAAGGGCTGCCAGTTCCGGGGAAGGTAACGCTCAGCCCGCGGACCCAGCCTCCACCCAGGCTCTGTACCGGGACACCGTACTCCTCCCTCAGACCGAGTTCCCCATGAAACTAGCCGGACAGAAGTTGGTGGAGCGGGAGCTTCAGATCCAGCAGGTAATGTGGTTCACAAAGCCCCGACAAACCCCTGCTGAATGTCTGTCTGCAAAACATGACTTTAGCTCAAGGATGCAACAGAGAAAATCCTGTATTTTATTAGAGTTTGTGCTTTGACATAATATAAAATTGTAGAAACTTTTCAGTTAATAAGTTTTTTTATGGTTAGGGGCATGTTTACATTTCCAAGCATAAATATTAGATTTTATTTATCATAAATGACGAGGGGGAATTGTTTAAAAAGTAGAAGTAGGACTGTGGTTTTGTTCTTATGCATACATAATTAACTCCCTCTGTTCTTAATTCCTTTAAAATGGTTGATTTGACCTAGTGATAACTCAGACTGCAGAGTTTAACTCCAGAAAAATAATTTCTTTGAAGCCTTTGGGTCTATATAGCGAACAACATTTGAACACCTAAAAAAACTCTATATACATCAAGGAGAAAGATGCTGTTTAGTTTAGTGCATATTAAGGTCGTATTTTTGTTCCCTAAAAACAAAAAAAGATTATTGCACCACCTAAATAAATAGAGAGAGAGAGATTTGGTCAGACTAGTGGCAAGGACACCCAACTGTGGAGGAGCTGTAGATTCCAGCAGCTCAGGTAGAGTTTGTTAAAGTGTTTGGTTTATAATCAGTCATGCACTCCAACATAAGCAGTTTAGTTTTTAGCTTGCACTGACAGTCCTGGATAAAACAAATCAGATGACTGGTTCGTCACTGGGTCTAATTGGAACATAATCCACAATCATTTTAATAAAAACAGTAAAAATATTTCAGTTAAAGCGGTTTCTGTGTTTTATTTTGGTTGAATGCTTTTGCTGGATCTTTTTTTTTTCTGCAGGAATGTGGTTTTGCAGACTTGTATTCATGGCAAAGAGAAAGGAAAAGCAAAAAAGAGTTCTGCCTTCATGACGGACCCCCTTATGCAAATGGAGACCCTCACGTTGGACACGCGCTTAACAAAGTAATTAATTTAGTGTTGTGTTTGATCTGCTTGCGTTTTAAAGCTGCTCCAAGAAGGCAGGTTTTTCTCAGAACATTTCAAATTTGCTCATAAGTCACAAAAACTCTTCTATAAATCTTATTCAGATCCTCAAAGACATCCGTAACCGTTTTGAGGTGTTAAGAGGACGTCAGGTCCACTACATCCCAGGCTGGGACTGCCACGGCCTCCCTATAGAGCTGAAAGCTTTGGGAGAACTAGGAACCAGCGGCCTCAGTCCTCTGGAGATACGACAGAAAGGTGAGTGTGAACATGTTAGTGCCTGATAGTCACAGAGACTTCCAGCTGTTCTAATGTTGATGTATTTTTGCTTTCCAGCTCGGGAGTTTGCTGAAGGGGCGATAGCTCGGCAGAAGGCTGCCTTCCAACGCTGGGGCGTCATGGCCAACTGGGAGCAGTGCTACTACACCTTCGATGGGGCTTACGAGGCTGCTCAGTTAAAGCTCTTCCAGGAAATGCATAACAAGGTGGGCACTAGTGCTCTGCAAACATAAAGTTTCATTTCCCCTTTTCCAGGGGTGGCAACCCAAACTGTTCAAAGAGCCATATTGTACCAAAAAAAACAAAAAACAAATCTTAGCCCCTTATGGCGAGAAATGCATTAGCCCACTATAAAAAACGACAACGTGGGCTTAAATATACAATACACATTCTTGATTATATGTTTTTTTCTGGAGCAAATATCACATCTTGTGACTAGTCTTCGTTGACAGAAATGTTAAAATGTATTGTTTAAATAAAAAAAAAAAAAAGTTTAATCAACCAAAACTTTTACGATCTGATTTCTGGATGCTCAGTTTACCTTCAGTTATTGCTTGGATATTTGAAAGGAACCTTAGAGAATGCAACATGTTTATGCAAATTAAATATGTAAAATATTCGTTGCATTCTAGTACTGTAACCCTTTAAGGTTTTTAAATGGTGAACTTTAACCTGAACTAGGTCCTTTAGCTATTAAAGTACTTTTAAATAACTTTGTCTGATGCTGCCATCCCTCCGTTGCTCTCCAGGGTCTGGTATATCAGGACTATAAACCCGTCTTCTGGTCTCCTTCATCCAGGTATGGCACCAACTTGCTGTCCATGTATTGAACATGTTAACTTCCTCTTTCAAACCTTCCTGCTGCTATCTTTTTTTATTTCTGTTTTCTTTTAACAGGACGGCTCTGGCTGAGGCCGAGCTGGAGTACAACCCTGAGCATGTGAGCAGAGCCATCTACGCCACCTTCCCTCTGGCCACGCTGCCGCCCAAGATCGCCTCAGAAGATGGTTATTCATTCACACTCATTATAGATTATTTAAAATAATCTGAGGGAGAGTGTGTGTGATGACTGTGTGGTTGTCTCGCTAGGTTTGGAGAATGTTTCGGTGTTGATTTGGACCACCCAGCCTTGGACCATCCCTGCAAACCAGGCAGTGTGCTACATGCCCAACGCCCAGTAAGTTCTCACTGAGATCAAAGAGACTGCTCTCAGTCTGGAAAGTCCTCAGCCTTAAATTTATAGTGGAGGATGTTCTTTTTCCGGGTGGATCATCAAAATAAGTGGTCCTCCTAATTGTCAATCAGTCTGTTGTAGGGCTGGGCGATATAGAAAAAAAGTATATCGATAAAAAAAAATGCATATTGATCGATATCGATAATTATTGAAAAGATTTGAAACCATATTTTATGTGCAGCTCTGCCTGGACTTTTTATAATATTGTTAAATGATTTAATTTTAATAAAAAAACACAAACACAGACTTCGAATTAAATCTTTATTTAACCAACTTTTTTAATCATAACAGAATTGTTTTAAAGAAAAATAACTTAAGAGACCTGAGTTATGTTATTAAATACGAATAAACTAAATTGACCAGAAAAGTGACCAAAATAAGTATAACAAATAAATAAATGCCCCCGCACCGCCGCCGCCGCCACCCCCGTTTCCTGCTTTAACCTGAGTTATTACTTTGAAGTTTCTGGCCCCTCAGCATTTTTATCTCAATTGTTAGAACTACGTGGGGAAACTGCCCAGAACTGAAAATATATATATATTTTCCCGAAATTCCCGAAGATTCCTCGGAGGAGAGCCGCGCCGGGGCCTACACAGCTCGTACTCCTGCGGGTGTAAGCGGCTGAGATGATAAAAAAAAAAAAATTTCGTTGTGTTATCAGACTGGTTTTCACTGGTTCCCGACACATTTTACAGATGACTGTGGTTTGTTTTTGGTCCGACTTGCCATGACCGAAATACTGCCAGACTGCCGAACTACAAAACCCTTTCTTTGGAACAATTTCCTCCGCCTCTCCTTGCTGCGACATCTTCATGTGCTCTGTGTTGTGGTTTGAGAGGGCGGCGCTAGGTGACGGCATGCCTGGGTCCGCGATTGTGATTGGTTGGGAGGAAGCAGTGACTAGCATAAACCTACATGCTTAGGCTACAATGAGAATGAAGGAAAACTGCTTTTCTTTTTTATCGAACTTTTATCGACCCTCTTTTTTTCTATTTCGCCACACGTCTATCGATCGATATATATCGTTATTGAATTATCACCCAGCCCTAGTCTGTTGATATGTTTACGTAAGGCTGTCCTACATGCTCGTCCCTATTTTCACTTACCAGTGGTCAGTCTGACATAGTGGAAAAATTGCAAATCTTCTTTTGGAAAGTAAGCTTGTATGAGCGATGCAAACAGCAGATTTTAAACAGAGCGTGCACGAGGAGAAATGTGCTCATGCACACTCTCGCACATGTTTAATAGGCGTTCCCTCTCAGGAGCGGGTACAGGGTTGTGCATGTGTGCCAGAGTGGCAAAAATCCTCCACTATACCTTTAACAGTGAAGGTCAAATTTTACGTATGGTTGTGCTGATCCTTCATTCTTTGGCCATTATGCTAAAAAATTAGATCCTAAGTCTGATTCCTGTTTCTGGATTCCAGGTACTCTGTGGTGAAGAGGGCAGACACTTCCCAGCTGCTGCTGCTGGCAGCTGAACGCACGGCGAGCCTCGCAGCGCTGCTCGGCACAGAGCTGCAGACTGTAGCCACCTTCACAGGTAAAGCCATTTCAGAGCACGGCTGAATTTAATCAGTTACGTTAAACTGACTCTGCCTTATTTTACAAACATTTATTTATTTATATATTTTTTTTGGAAGGTTTGCAGCTGGAAGGTGGCACCTGCAAACACCCCACCATTCCTGATAAGCAAATTCCGTTGTTGCCAGCCAACCATGTGACCATGGGGAAAGGGACAGGATTGGTCCACACTGCACCAGCTCATGGGATGGATGACTACAGCGTGGCGTCACAGTTTGATCTGCCTGTGGTAATCAATATTACTTCCACATACAAAATTAACACAAGACAATATTTTAATATTAAATGATGTGTTATTTGCATTTTTATGTGAATATTTGCTTTGGTTAAAGGAGTGTATGGTGGATGAAGACGGCAAGTTCACCGAGCTTGCAGGACCTGAGCTGCAGAACCTGTCTGTGATCACTGAAGGAACTCAGAGAGGTAGATGGCGTCTGAGTAGCCTTCATTATTGTTCCTAAATGTTTTCAAAACTACATTACCGCCTGTTTTAGTGATTTCCATGCTGCAAGAGAGTGGCGCTTTGGTTCTGGAGGAGCAGTGTGTCCACAGCTACCCGTATGACTGGCGGACAAAGCAGCCGGTGGTCATCAGACCCAGTAAACAGTGGTTTATCAACACTGCATCACTGAAGCACAAGGCAAAGGTAAACATTCTGCCAGAGGAGCTCAGGTAATAGTTTCATTCCTGTCTCAGTGAATCTTCTCACACAGTGTTTGTCATCGTCGGCAGGAGGCGCTGCAGAAAGTGCGTGTTTTACCAGAGTCGGCAAGAGGAAGCCTGCTGGCCATGCTGGACAGACGGACGTACTGGTGCATCTCCAGGCAGCGGAGCTGGGGGGTCCCCATCCCAGTGTTCTATCACAAAGAGACCGGGGAGCCTCTCATAAACACGTAGGCCCAACGCTGCACAAACTAAAACAACAATAGTCTGCTGCTGTTTTTATATTTCTAAAAAAATTATTTTTTTTCTGTAGAAACTATAAATATTTTTGTTTTGCAATTTTATTTAGATTTCAAATCATTCTGGCTTAAACATGTATTTAAATGTACTCTTTATCAGATGATGTCCCAAAAATTAGAAAATTTCCGTAAAAAAAAAAAAAATCTTGTCTTAAATCTGTGGGTTTTTTTTCGTTATCTTATGCAGGCCAGTTAGTTATATATCAACGGTCATCTGTCAATCAAATTTTTTTGGTCATAGCATCTTGATTCATATGTTGCAGTTAATATACGCAACGGTTAAAATAAGAATCATTTCCTTTCCCATTGAGTTCCGTCCCAGTGTTCACGGCAAAGGCTCAAACATGTACGGCTGTAAGCCTTCTACACCAAACCAAGCTTCTGCCGCCCTTGCGTCCTCTTCCACAACATCTTCGTCCCCGCTTTCCTCCTCTAAATAAAAAAATGGATAACGGAGGAGACTCATCCACGACCTCCGACACTAAACTCTCCTCCTCTTTCATGTTTCCTCTGTCCATAGCGTTCCTTGACAGTGTCGTTTCTAAGTCACCAATTTAGTGCTACTTGGTCCCAATGGAATTTCCTCTTGGAACCTACTAGCACTAAGTTGCTAACTGGTTAGCAAGATTCTTCCGAGACACCAACCACAACCAAACTTGCTTGCGAACCTTCCGCCACGACAATCTTGCCCCTCTGCTAAAAGGCCAATCACATTCACCTTATTCACCCGTGTAAAATGCAATTGTTGGAATAGCCGTTTCCCTACGATTTAAAAAAAAGAGAAATTCCCTGATCCTTAAAGGCTGGTTATCCTCCTACAGCAATGTGTAGGAGTGAGATTGTTGCAGATATTTTTGATTTATGCCAAATATTGAAGCGTGGTCTGCGCTGTTATTCCAAGCCACAACGTAAAAGAGACAATCGCCAACTAGCTGTGGGTCTAGATACAGCCGAGGCGGTGAGGAAGTGGGGATAAGTCTGTGCGAGGAGGGACATGAGGGCCAAAAAGAGCGGGGATCTAGGTTGAAAAAGGCTCCCAGCGTTCTTGCGCACCTCGCTCTTCTAGCTGGTCCATCTTCACAAGTCGTTTTCCACAATGGCGGTCATACAAACAAAACAAGCCGGTAAGGTACCTAACAGGAAATAGGCATAGTGTAGAGCGGATGTAGATTTGACCAATCAGAGGCCTCCTGTCACATACAATTTGGAAGAGGTGCAGCAGGGTGTCTGCGGAAGGGGCGGGGCATACCTGCGTTCACTGCGACACACGCAGACGACCTGGTTTCTGAGCATAGATCAGCCTTTAGAAGCAGTTTGATGCCTGTTGTTGTCTCCTGCTCCTCCTTTCTTTATTGATTACTTCTGTAATTTCCTCACAAGCACCTGTATTGACTTTAGTTTGCTTGTTGAGAAGCTTGATCTGACAACCATTGATCCTCTGCAGGTACACTGTGTCCCACATAGCAAAACTCTTTAAAGAAAAAGGCAGCGACTGTTGGTGGGAGCTTCCCATCGAGGCTCTGCTGCCCCCAGAGGTTCTCAAGAAGGTGAGTTAGCATCATCTGAAAGTGATAGTAAGATTAAATATTCCTTTGGATAAAGGAAATACATTTTAACTTTCAATGTAGCTGCAGCTAAACTGCATAAGTTTTGCATAAGTTTTGTAATATCCATGTTTTATCATCCCAAATGGAAACAAATGTAAGATGTAAGCAAAATGTTCATAAATTGTTTATAAGATTGGATTCAACTTTTATTTCCATTGCAAAACGCTTCTGAGTCAATACTGTAAATAAGATGTTCTAAGATTTTTCTGGGATGTTTTTGCTTTTCAGAGTAAAGCAGGACCTGTGAGCGACTATGTTCGAGGAGATGATGTTCTGGACATCTGGTTTGACAGCGGAGCGTCATGGGCGGCTGTCCTGGAAGGTATGAATACATTTCCTTTAATGGGTTCAGGTTTGATTAAACACAATGTTTCAGAGAAAAAAGTCAAATATGGTTGTTATAACAACTTTTGGTTTGGAGGATAGATGGCTGAGGAGGGAAACCTGAGGGTTTATGTGTCTTAAGCCCGCACTTCAAACTGTACCTCCTGACAGAGAAAAAGGAATCGGAGCCATTTATCTGTTAACCTTTAATTAATTTCAGTTTATTTATGTAGCGCCAATTCACAACACATGTCATCTCAAGGCACTTTACAGTTCACCAGATCATTCAGTCAAATTGATTAAAAGTTTTCTATCGAAGCAAAACCAGTTTATTGCATCGACTCAATGACTCAAATGCAATCCCTCACACTAAGCATGCTTGTAGCGACAGTGGAGAGGAAAAACTCACTTTTAACAGGAAGAAACCTCCAGTAGAACCAGGCTCAGTGTGAACGGCCATCTGCTGAGGCCGACTGGGGTTCAAGGAGACAGATATAACTTACCTCCTCTGTTTGAGGAACAGATTTTTCATTGATGCTGGAGGCTTCAGTTCACTGATCCTTGATAGACTTTAACACAGAGAACGGTGAACCTCACCAGAGTTACCGGCCAGTTTCTGTTGGAGCATGCATGTTTTTCATCTCCTCCTTTTTCATAGGATAATCACCAACAGGTTAAATATCAGTGTCAGAGCAGAGTTTTCCAGAACTTCAGTTCTAAACCAAATGCTGTGTGCATTGGAACTTGGAAATGTGTGTTTTCTGTTTACAGTTTATTTTCCGGATTGTTTTTTTCTGAACTTGAAGATCTGTTTCTGTTTCACTAAACTTTAGAAGAGCTCTTCATAATTTTTTTTGACACTAAGTTGTTTAATGATTTACATCCCAGGTCAGAAACTGGGTTTATTGCCGACATTTCTAAGTCATATAAAGTCTGAAGGTGGAGATGCTTGGTTAAGATCCAGCTTGAGGACAAGTTGGGTGTGTGTCATTAAATTTATTTGATACACGATCTTTTAAACTTATCAGTCAGCTGCAGGGAAGCTTTTTGTTCCCATGTTTTCTTTTTGATCTGTTTGAAGCTCTATGGATTGCTGTGGCAACACATTTAAACAAGATCGACTTACTTAACCCCAGTTCTTTAATTACGGAGCGAGGTGTTTCATTATGTGAATTGCCTTCGGGTGAGACCAACTACGGAAACTCCAATGACACCAAGTCTGTCCCTGACAGACAGGTTGATTGTTGCAATGCTGTACCTAGGACCCGCCCCCTGATACTCCTACAATCATTCTAGAATGGTTTCTTACCGTCTTTTCAAGAAGGGCGGTGCGGGTGAAACATCTCACTTTGTTGTCAAAGAACTGGGATTACGTGACTAAATGTTCTTTTTCTAACTTCATGCAGTGTTTCACTATGGGAGATATAGCCCACTCCTGAACAAACATGCAAACATGTTTCCTGAAGCAGAGGATCATCGCTGTACATCAGTGACTTCACAAAGAGTTCAGAGACATCCAGCCTGTAAAACTACATAAACGTGTGGGGTGAAGCCCACCTGGCTGCAGAACAAACATCCTGGGCAGAAATGCCACTGAAGAGGGCCCATGAGGTAAACGCACCTCTAGAAGAATGTGCCATGAACCCATGAGGAGGTTGCAAACGTCTACAGCTGTAGGTTAGAGAGATGGCTTCCAGTGAGAAGAACCCTGATGACATACGGGCTTCCCCACGACACCAACCGATCTGGCCACATGCATGTGCAGAGCTCGAACAGCACATAGTCTATTAGGATGTCCGTCCCCTTCAGAGGAAAAAGACTGAGCATGGAATGCCTTAAGCTGAACTGAAGGGCAGCTATAAGCAGAATCTACCACCTTCGACACAAAAACCAGGTTAGTATGCAGGCAGACCTTAGAAAGCCCAGGAGTAAAGTGTAAACATGAAGAGCTAACAGACAAGGCCTCAAGCCCATTGGGACGTTTTGCCGCGGTTGGGGGCAAGAAGAAGAAGAACCTCCGGAGGCTTGGATGGGTGAATGCAAAGCGTCTCTGGTACAATCGATGGATCCCAAAGTGGAACCGGGGATCTTGCAAAAGGCAGTTTACGGCGGCCCCCTTCACATTAGTGGATGTTGCCCCACTGACTTGTCTCCAAAACGACATGGTAAATAATAGTTGAGATAAGCTTTGCACTTGTAAACTAAACCCTGTAGGAAACATAAGATATCAACTACAGAGCACTGAAAAGGAATGACCTGTCTCACTGTGCACCATTTCTCTAAAACCGGCCACTTACAGGCATAATGACTGCTGGTGGAAGGCAATCTGCAATCTGGCAGTATTCAGGTTGCATCTCTCACGGGCCAAGACTACAGTGACAGAGTGGTGAGAATGGTAAACCTCCCTGATGGCCATAGACGTGCCAAAGCATCCAGCCTGAGAGGTGCGCCTTTGTCTTTAAGGGAGAAGAACAACAGATATTGCGTGTTATCTTGCACGACGAAGAAATCTATGCTGGCCCGGCTGTACCTCTGCTTAATTTACTCCATCACTTGTGGGTGCAGAGTCCAGTCCCATACAGGGGGCTTCCCCTGCGACAAGCGAGCGCCCATGTTCAGTGTCCCTGGAACATGAGTCACCCGGAGAGATAAGAGTCTGGTACTCCTTCCCATGATTAGAATGCCTCTTTGGAGATTGATGTACAACCTGAAACGGGCGCTGAAGCCTGGACACAATATTCAGCAGACAAACTGAAAGTTTTAAACAAGTTTATTCAAAAAACAAAAAGAGGACGACAGAAACTCCTCGGAGCGGGTTCTCTGATTGTCTGGTTGAGAGTTCAGTCCGATATTTTGAGAGCAGAAACCCGGAGGGAGATTTCCGCCACTTACGGTCGTTACAGCTTCAGAGCGCAGAGTGTGGGGGAAGCTGGCGCCAGCCGACGCAGAGCCAGCAACAGTGTTCTAATGGCATAATCCAAAGTTGAAATCCAGTCCAGAACAATTTCAGAAACCAGGTGATCCAAGAGCCGAAGAGATATCCAGGGAGAATCCAAGCTGAGGTCAGTGAAACAGTTCAGTAACCAAAATCCAGGCAGTCAGACCAAAAATCAAACTAAGCAGAACAGACAGTGAAAAAGGCAAAAATAGAAAATACATGGGTAAAAAGCTGATCAGAATTTAACAGCACAGAAAACTTACTAAGAACGCTGGAGTTACTCACACCGGGACTGCTTGAATAATCCGGCGCTGATGGCAGAAGTACAAACAGCATAAATAGCTGCTGGGACCTGGTGAATCAGATCGGCAGTAATCAGCCGCAGTTCCAATTGGGCAGGTGAGCAGGAGCAGAGGCTTGGCCAAAGCCAACCATCAGTGCCAGGATTATGACACAACCACTGAGTTGTCCATCTTCACTAACACATGCTGACCCTGCAGAAAACGAAGGAAGTGTTTCAGCACTAGAAACACGGCCCTAAGTTCCAAACACAGTGATGCGCACTTCGGCCAGATGTGTTTCCCAGGTGCCGTTCTCAGACCTGCCTGACAAGGGGGCTCCCCATCCTGTCAACGATGCATCCAATGTCATGGTTATCCTCGAGGACACAATGCCTAGTAGGACCCCTGACATCCTTGCTAAACTCCATTGGGGCCATTGACAGCCTGAATGGGATGACCTGGTATTAAACTTCTTCCCCCATATGCAAAGTTAAGGAATTTCCTTTGTGCCCGAGGTACATCTTTGGAAATACCAAACTTTCTGTCAGGGACAGACTTTGTGCCATTGGAGTTTCTGTAGTTTGTCTCACCCAAGGCAATTTCTATAGTGGAACACAGAAAGAAGTCAGAAAAAGAACCAACATTCAGTACATCTTCTGCCAATTCAAAAGTCAAAATCAAACAAAACTCCAGCAAAAGTATTCTTACACCTTGAATGGTATCTAAAGGATTTTTCAAACCATTGTTTATTTTCTTATAAACTTCTACTTGTCCAGCGACTCAAACTTACTTGAAAATTCTAATAGAATATAAAAAGGTGATATAAATGTGGATCATATTCCAAGCAACTCCAGATGTTTTCTAAACCACTACACACGACTGTTAGACCAAATAAGACGTCCTAACACTGAGCTTGTCTCTTAAACATCTGGGTGTGTTGTGATTTCTAGAAGACATGGAGGAGGAACCCAAGGAGCCCGAATCCCGTCTCAGCTGGCTTCCTGGCTCACTTCGCAAACCTCTAGTCCCAGGTTATTCAGACATCTACCTGCAGCGAGTGCTGGCTCTCAGACCTTCGCTTGTCTCCTCATCTTGGCCTCAAACATGTTTATGTGCTTTAAAGACTGTTTCCAAAGTCCAGTTTGGGGGGTAGATTAAGTGCTTGGCATGAATGTAAATCTCTCACTGCTGTCTGCATGCAGGAGTTGAAGCAGGATATTTTCCCCCACTGAGCACCTTTATTTCTTTTTCCAGGATTGGTGCAAACTCTGCTCCTTTTTTCTGTCTCCTTTTTTGTTGTTGAATGGGTTGGGTCTCTCTAATCCTTTGTAGATGATCTAACCTTTATTTTTGGTCAGGAGTGGACGGATGCACCCTTTCTATTTAACAGCGGCTGATCTTCTTGACTCCTTTCAGACTTTTCTGTTTTTTGGGGGATAGAAACTAACCATTCTGTGCATCTTTACTTCATCTTTTTGCCTCATTCCTCACCTTCTCCTCTGCCTCCTTGCAGAGTCTGACCCCAGAGCAGATGTATATGTGGAGGGAAAGGACCAGCTTGGAGGCTGGTTCCAGTCTTCCCTGCTCACCAGTGTGGCCGTTAGGAACAAAGCCCCCTTTAAGTGAGTGTCGTCTTAAATATGTCTGCAGGCAGGAACTGTATTTATTACGTTTCATCTATTTTAGATTAAACATGTGTGATGTTTTGTAGATCTCTGGTGGTCCATGGCTTTGCAATCAGTGAGAAAGGAGAGAAGATGTCCAAGTCTCTGGGGAATGTTGTGGATCCTGATGAGGTCATTAATGGAACAAAGGTGAGCAAGGAGCGAAAAAATACGTTCTGCGGACAAACAAAAAGGAGAGGAAATTAAAATATAGAAACGTATCAAGAGAGAACAGAAGGACATGGAGAGAATGATGGTTGTGTGATTTCTACAAGTAGTGGTGAGACGAGATAAAAACTTAATTAAGTTAATGACAAGGTCTGTAATTAATTTATCCCAATTAATCGTATTTTAATTGAAAACCATTTATTGACAAAATAAACCGACCTCAGCTATTGAATAATCATATGAGCACAGCAATGCAGATATTTATTATTTATTAATCCATTATTTAGGTTATTCCACCATCAAATTGTTTGAAAGTTATAATGATTTAGCTTTAATTAGAAATCCCTGATATTTTATGCAACTTCTTTAAAAAAAAATGCACTAGTATTAACTCTACATGAACATAAATTGTAACACAATTATTTCCATTAATTTTGATTTAAAAAAAGGAAATGTACACTGGTAAAACGATCTAGAAATAAGTACAAATTTCTTAAATTACGGTAAGTGTATTTACCCTTGATCTAAGTAGGTAAATGAGATAATTTGCCAATGGAATTAGTATTTTTACTCTTAAAATAAGATAATTAGATAATATGCACTTGAAATAAGACGATGCAATTGTGTTTTCTTATTTTCAATGTAAATTGTCTTGTTCCATTGGCAAAATGTCTCTATTATCTCCTCAATTCAAAAACAAATGCAGTTATTTTAAGAAAAAAATACTTATATAGATTTAGATTTTTGCAGTGTATATATATGACAGGCAACAAGTAACAAGTAACACAATATTGCCAGATCTAGGGCAGTTCAGCTCTGCATAAAGGATTGCTTAATAAATGCTAATTAGTGAAATTCCAGCAAAAAAGCCAGTTGGAGTGGTTCATTTAAACCGGGCATACACTGTACGATTTTTTTTGCCCTTTTCGGTCCGACTTTCCTGTCGTGCAAGAATTTTATCAATCAGATTGACTTTCAGCTTGATCATGCGTTGTACATGGTGTAGTGTACAGGGGGTAACGAGGAGCGATTAGCCTCTCATGACCACCTCCCCATCAGGAATCGTGAGGTCGGGAGAAAATCAAACATGTTTGAAATTCAGTCAGCCGTCGTGGGCAAATCGCTCAGTGCACAAACAGGATTCTTCATCTTCCTCTAACGTGAAAACACAGAAGCATGGCGGGGCTGCGGGTGAAATGGAGTTCTTTCTGTAAAACTGACAGACCGTAGTAGCCACATTAGCTCAGCCATGTCTTTAAATACATTGTCGCCTTTTTCTTTTTAGGGCTTTCAGCACAAAATTGCACAAATTGCCAAGGCACAAATTTCTCTCTAGTGAGCTTCATATTCCTTTTCTACTCGATTGGCATCCTGATAGACGAGTAGCACCATCTCACTGTGGAGCTGAGCCCGACATGGTTTTTAGACGTACAGCTTGAGCAGGCATATCGCATCAGAGCGTCGGGCTGCACATTGCCAGAATATGCATTGTTAGCTTTAAACTTAAACTATACGACGAAACCCTGCGGTTTCGTCGTATAGTGTGAGCCGAAGCTGCGTGCAATGATTGAAAAAAAAAAAGATTGAAAACATCTACATGTCTGTACATCTTCTTTTGGCATTTGACCAATTAAATGAGTCCCTGACGATATATTACCTACTGTAAATTTAGTTGGAAAAGAAGTTAACAAGTTGAGGAAAAAAGCTTAAAAGCTAATTGAAAAGTTAGAAAATAAAGTTAAAAAATGATTGCGCTAATTTTAATTTTTTATTTATGCTCTAAGGTTATGTTGTAACAAAAACAAACGTTGTTTTTTTCATTCTGTGACTGTTTTTCATGAGTTTCATATTGAAGCACTGTCTTTATTTCTCCTAACATATTAGGGCAAGTGACCGTTTTTTGTTATTAGATTTACCTTAATTTTTGCCTGCAAAATATACATGTTTTTGGTTTTGCTTTGGTGGCGCAATGGTTAGGGCACACAACCTTAGTCCTCGACATGGCTGACCCGGGTTGGAATCCTACTTGTGGTCTTTTGCCGCAGGTCTCTCCCCTTCTCTTATACCCCCTTTCCTGTTAGCCTACTGTCCAAAAAACAAGCCACTGGTGTGGTTAAAAACTCAAAAAATAATAAAATATACATATTTTTTTAATTTCACAAAAGTAACAAGGTCCTGTCCTCCAATAACACTGTTGGCTTTAAATGTTAATTTTTAAAGTATTTAAATAAGTGCCCCATAAAGGTTAAATGCATAAAGTGTTTCTGAGTAATTAATTGGAATTAACTTGTTAAAGTCCCAGCCCTAATGTTTAAAGGCCATTAAGAGCAGAGCAAATATTTCAAAAAGGAAAAAAACAAACATTTCAGGTAACTTGGTGTCTCTGTGTCAGGACGGCAGCTTAGCAGCATACGGGGCAGATGTGCTTCGCTGGTGGGTCGCTGAATCAAACGTCTTCTCTGAAGTCCAAATTGGTCCAAGCGTCCTTAACTCGGCCCGAGACAGCATCAGTAAGGTACCGACACAGAAGGATGGATCCGTTCCAAATCTTTCCCTTGTTTTTGCCTCCTGGTCCTCATTTCTCTTCCTCCTGGTTTTCTCTTCCAGTTGAGAAACACTCTCAGGTTTCTGCTGGGAAACCTGCAGAGCTTCGACCCACATCAGCATGCTGTGGACCCCAAAGAGATGTACTATATTGATCAGTACATGCTGCATATGCTCAGGGAATACAGTATGAAGGTATGTTAAAGCTGGACTTGGGTCAATGGTTCTTCTTTTTCCTGAAGGTCTTAAGAATGATGCTTTTGGTTCAGGTTACAGACGCCTACAGTGAGTTTGATGCTGGCAGAGTCATCCGTATCCTTCAGGCCTTCATCACCAGAGAACTGTCCAGCTTTTATTTCAGCATCATAAAGGACAGGTAAAGGATTTCCTCGGCTTTCTAGATACATATTTCCAGCAGGCTTTGTCCATGCATTGCTTTCTGACTCCTCCTTCATTCAGGCTGTACTGCAGTCCAGAGGACTCGTTGGGCAGGAGATCATGTCAGACCGCTTTGGAGGAAATTCTGGATGGAGTGACTCGATCTGTTGCTCCCATCCTGCCACATTTAGCAGAGGAGGTCTATCTGCATGCCCCAGGACATGATGGTACGTTTGGATTAGTTATGAAATCACCTGAATATTAGCAGTTTATTTGCTTCTTAACAAGAAATGATCTTGATTTTTGCAACAGAAGCCGATACGTTATTCAAAAGCGGGTGGATCAAAAGCAGCTCTGTGTGGAGGCGGCCAGGGTTGGAGGAGGCAGTGGAAGGAGCCTGTGCCATTCGTGACTCCTTTTTGTCTTCAATTCCTGGTAAAAATGCTGGCCAGTATGATCTGACGATCGCCATTGAAGCAGGACTTCTTTTTGAGCTCATGGAGGTAAGAATATAAAGATTTAAAGAGCATAAACGATTAAAACAAGATTAAATCTGTTGGTTTTAAAACATAAATGCCACACCTCACTTTAGAGGAACATTTTTCAGGCCTCACTGCCTTAAGAAGATTGGTAAAAAAAAATGGGGCAATTTTGGTAAATAGCAATAAGGAAATAAATTCATTACTTATCAAAACATTATTTTCTTAAAATCCATCCAGGGAGTCTTCAGAGGCTCAGATGAAGGCCGGAAATAAGACTTTTGTCGCAATGATGCAGACATCAACAGAGCAGCTGCTTTGCTTAGCTCTTAGCTTAGCTTTTAGCTTAGCAATGTCTTTTTGGATGCTTTGTGTTGGTAAGCACAAATACGGTGCCAGTTGGAGTGCAGGCTCAGGTGTTGTTCAGTGTTCATGAGCAAGGCAGGTCTGGGACAGGTTTTTTTTCCCCCCCATTGGAATAATTATTTTAATAAAACTTCAACATCAAAATTATAAATAGGTATGGAATTGTTGTTATTCAATACCTCTATTTAAAAATTGCCTCTTTTAATCTCCATTGTTTTAAAAAATATATTTACTTTGTTCACAATTTGTAGCAAGTAATCTCCCCCCTTTTATTACATTAAATTATCCTTGTAACCAGAGTGCGAAATACGGGGGGTCCGGGGGGGCTTGACCCCCCCCCCCCCCCCAATTAACCCATGAGACCCCCTGAAAGCCTCAAAAGCAAAATTTAAAGGGGTTCTTAAATTGTGTCAGAAAAATTTAAAATAAAATATTTTTTTGTCAATAATGGTCACTAAAATATTTTTATGCTCAACATGTCTAGTATTTAAAATTAAAAACATTTATTCACAAATATGTTCTGGTTTTTTTCCAAGTATAGCCAGCCAATCCTGTGTGCATATGCAAATTAGCCATGTGCACGCTAAACAGAAGAAAGATGTAACGGAGCAGAAGAAGTTAGTTTTCCCAGCATGCACTGGGCAGCATGTTCAGTATTAAAACATGTAACTTAACCTGGAAAAGATTGACATTTACTGGCAGCTTCTATTTGTTACTGTTCTTATGTCTGTTATATCATCAGAGTTTCTGTTATAATCTGAAGTACTTGTTGTTTCACTATGAGTCTGGAAGGTATGTCCGTTAATGAAAATTTAGATCGGTATTGCCCAACAATCGGGAGATGGGGACCCCCCCAAATATTGACAGGTATTTCGCACACTGCTTGTAACCATAAATTTAGATGTTAAAAAATTGTAGATAAATTTGTGTTTCCAGAAAAAGTGAATTCTTCAACTCAAAGATCAGTAAATCAGAGAATCAATCCATCTGATCTGCCAACAGCTGCTACTAATCAGCCACATTCAAACAAACTGCTAACAAGGATTTTCTCTCAGTCTCTCCAAGAAGAGCCCAGCTCCACCAGCTCCCAGCTGGCTGAGCTGATGATGGCAGCACGAGTCAACCTGATCAGCGAGCTTCCCCGTGACCTCCCTCCAGGTGCCCTGCTGAGTCAGGGTACCTTCCTCATCAATCTAGAAGGTGAGATATCTTGAATTGGACCTGTTCATCATCCAGAAGCTAAACTTTGTTGTAATCCTTTAAAGCATTTTGATCAGTAGTTTTTAAGCCTATTTAAAGAACAATAAACCTTTTTTTAAGGTGACTTACTTCCTTGCATCAATCAAGCCAAACATAAAAACAGAAATAAGACCTTTTTTCCTTGTTAAATTTGCATTTTAGGGGGTGTAATCCGTGAGGAAAGTCCCTACAGCATCGCCGTGACGCCCACTTCTGCCGCTCGCTGTCCACGCTGCCGGCGCTACACCTCGGAGTCCACGGACTGTCTTTGCCCGCGCTGCCAGACTGTCGTTTCACATGCCGGCTGACGTGTTACCAGGACAACCAACACACTTCGTTATCCAGAAGTGGCTTTACGCTCCCAGTGGAAAATGTAAAAGTGATGTCACTCCAGCTAGTAAGGAAAGCGCTCAAAACCAGTAAAAGGTTTATATTAATACACAATCACTGCAGATGTAAAATAATATAAAGTCTCAAGTTGTTGCTCTTCTGCTTTCCCACATTTCCTCATTGAACTCAAAACAGAAGTGCTGAACTCTACTGTAAATAGTTGGGAGGTTTAAAAAGATGTGATTTGACTGTTGAAGGGAAGCTCTTGTTTAAATGTGTCACTATGTGGCTTTAGTTTGAAGAGAAGAAGGTATGGGCGACTTCCTGTACAAATCTACAATTGTATAATAAAATTAGTTGCTTTGATAGAAACTGCAAATGTTTGAAAGTCTGTTTATGTTCTGTGAATAAGATCAAGTCAAACAATTAGTGAGAAATGTCTTTATTCTGAATCAGAGCCCTGCAGGACATCAAATTACAGATGCAGTTAATACAGATTTGTCTGCTCATAAATAAAAATAACATCCATCTCTTCATTTATGATAAACGTTTTCTGTGCAAAAGCTGAAATGGTTAGTATAACATCGAAGGTCCCACAGGACAGCTGATTTTAGTGATAAAATAAACATGCCCCTTTCCGCAACAAATCATCCTGAAAACACACAAAAAAATACTGAATACCTTTTATATTACATGCAACAACAAAAAAAAAACTGATGGGCTAATAAAACAAAGTTAAAAGCCACTTTTTTAAACACTGAACAATAAATGCCGTGATTTGACTGATGAAACCTAAATGTGCAGGCCTTTCTAATGCGCAGCTGACGGGTTTTATAGTGCAGTCAGCAAAGATCAACCTTCAGCAGATAGAGTGAGGACGTCCACAGCTTCCAGGAGGTGCAGGGCCAGGCTGTACTGAGCGTGGTTTTCTGGAAGCATTTCTATCAGACGGCTAACGAGTCGGCTGGTCTTGGACAGAGAGACCAGGGGGCATCTCAGCTCACTGGGATCCTGCAAGCAGACGAGATGCAGTGACTGATTCAGATTAAACTTCTCATCTATCAAACATGTCTTCAAAGAGCCGAAATAATCCAGCAGTACTGCATCATTTTAACCAAGTTTATTAAAGACATATTTTCTAATCTGGGAGAAATCTGCTGTGAAGATTTTGATTGGCTTCAGGTTTTTTTTTATTTTTATAAACGTGTTTATTGAGGAAACAGATTAGTCATATACATCAAGAAAATACTACATTTTCCTCATTACATTTTCTTGATTTTTCTCCAATATGCCTACAATGGACAAAAGTCAAACAAAATCTACAGGCCGCTACATATAACACATGTAATGACGAAACTAAAAAAATCTAAATAAAGTTGCAAAAACACACCAATGCACACGGAGGGAGGGGGGATTATTCTGAAGGCAAGGTTTGAAGTGATTTACAACATTCCCTAAAGAATTTTTCTTTTGTCTAATTTCATTGACAAATTTATTATATTTTTTAGTAACTATTTTGACTTAAGATTTTTCTACGGTCTTGTTTTTAACTTCATCAGTTTTGGTGGGAATTAAACCTGAATTTAAATCTGTATCGATTTCATCTGAGCTTTAATTTCTTATAAGTAGAAGAGATCCGGAATACAATAATGATTAGAGCTCCTAATCTAAAATTCCTCCAAAACCATGTTAGATCTCATAGCATAGCTTAGCTCATAGCGTGGCTCTTACCATTGCCTTTAACCATGTGCAGAGGGTTGGAGGCAGGCGAGCCAGCAGCTCCATGGCAGCCTGCGTCTGGTTTTGGCTGTGAAGCAGGGAGTAGCTTAATCTCTGGCCGGTCAGCACCAGGAGCTGGGAGCCCAGAACTTCCTTATCTTCAACCTGCAGCATGGCCTAGAAGGCAACAAGGAAGACATCAGTAGGTCTCAGCAAGACCCCGAGCTAAATTCTTGAGTTTCAGGTTATTTCTTTTGGCAGGAAAATGAATAAGATGTGTGTTTATTAGGCAGAAAATGAGCTTTTACTGCACTAATCTAAAATGATTCTTAGTGTAAAAACAATAAAGTGTTGGTGAATGTTTTAAAAGTGGCCTGATTAATATTAAAGGATACACATTACTTGTGCAGCTTTAAAAAATACTTAAATGTTATCCTTTTATGTTAATTCTAGCAGTTTAGACTCTATGCTTTTTTTGACAAAACGCTCATCAGCTTTTTATATGTTTTTATGGCTAAAGTTAAATTCAATCCAGGTTGGATCCAACACTGCTTCTAATGCATCCAATGCTTTAGAGAGAATGGATAAAAATAGCAAAGATTGCTTCACACAGTCATTTCAATAAGCTTTTGTGCATATTTGACTGAAATGCAGCCCAAACCATGACACTTCCATCACTTTGCTTTACAGATAAATGGCCACACCACTTATAAATATTAAAAATGATTTAGATTAATTATTTGAAAAAAAGCTTTTTCATTTCACTTCTTTTGTAATTTAGCTCACTTGAAAGTCTTGCATTTATACTAATATCTAGACTTTTATCAGTTCTGCATGCCATAACAGCAGGTCTGTTTACCTCTTCGGCTCGGAGGTCGAGGCCTTGGTTGTAGAGCTCACAGACAAGGTGTCGACGAAGGATATCTGGATTGACTTGCAGCAGGGAGCCAAGATCAATGCACAGCGAGGGCCACCAGTCTGCTTTTGGTCCATCAGAGGGCAGAGGTGTGGAGGCAGGCAAGGACGTCGAGCAGAAAGTGTCGTCTATGGCCTGCACCCATCCAGTTAGCACCCGGAGGAGGAACTGAAACAGAACAGGAAGTGGGAAAATAAGACCTCCAAACCATCCCTCTACACTTCATCCAATAACTCACCTCTTGCCGTAATGAGACTAAGCCAGGGTCCATGTCTCCGCTGGGCATCAGCTGGATGGTGGTCAGATCCCTGAAGAAAGCATTCTTACCCTAAAACAGAAACAAAACCTCAGACACAATATTCTAGATGTTTAACAACATGTCGTGTTCCTGAATGCGCCAACCTTGCTGTCAAACTGACTGAGCGGCTTGACTTTAACCGTGAAGCTCATGGCAGCGTGCAGAATCGATGCCAGCAGCCAGTGGTGCTGGACCAGAGGGTAGTGAACGCCTCTCTGCTCCAGGGCCAGCTGGGCGATGGACGCAGGGCCCTCAGCTCCACTCCACACCTCCTCCACAGACAGCTCAGGAGCACGAACCTCCTCCATGGCGGAGTCCGCCTGCAAGTAACCACCTGTTTTAGTGATGACGGCGGCTTCATTAAGCCTTATAACACGTATGGCAGAGCATCATGCCTTAAAACCCACGCATACAGGTGCTGGTCATAAAATTAGAATATCATGAAAAAGTAGATTGATTTCAGTAATTCCATTTAAAAAGTGAAACTTGTATATTATATTCATACATTACATACAAACTCATATATTTCAGATGTTTATTTTGTTTAATTTTGATGATTACAAATGACAACAAATGAAAATCTCAAATTCATGATATCAGAAAATTAGAATATTACTGAAGACCAATAAAAACAAAGGATTTATAGAAATGTTGGCCAACTGAAAAGTATGAACATGAAAAGTATGAGCATGTACAGCACTCAGTATTTAGTTGGGCCTCCTTTGGCCTGTATTACTGCAGCAATGCGGCGTGGCATGGAGTCGATCAGTCTGTGGCACTGCTCAGGTGTTATGATAGCCCAGGTTGCTCTAATAGTGGCTTTTAGCTCTTCTGAATTGTTGGGTCTGGTGTATTGCATCTTCTTCTTCACAATACCCCATAGATTTTCTATGGGGTTAAGGTCAGGAGAGTTTGCTGGCCAATTAAGAACAGGGATACCATGGTCCTTCAACCAGGTACTGGTAGCTTTGGCACTGTGTGCAGGTGCCAAGTCCTGTTGGAAAATGAAATCTGCATCTCCAAAAAGTTGGTCAGCTGCAGGAAGCATGAAGTGCTCTAAAACTTCCTGGTATGTGGCTGCGTTGACCCTGGACCTCAGAAAACACAATGGACCAACACCAGCAGATGACATGGCACCCCAAACCATCACTGACTGTGGAAACTTTACACTGGACTTCAAGCAACGTGGATGAAGTGCCTCTCTTCTTTTCCTCCAGACTCTGGGACCTTGATTTCCAAAGGAAATGCAAAATTTACTTTCATCAGAGAACATGACTTTGGACCACTCACCAGCAGTCCAGTCCTGTTTCTCTTTAGCCCAGGCAAGACGCTTCTGACGCTGTCTGTGGTTCAAGAGTGGCTTGACACAAGGAATGCGACAGCAGAAACCCATGTCTTTCATACGTCTGTGTGTGGTGGTTCTTGAAGCACTCACTCCAGCTGCAGTCCACTCTTTGTGAATCTCCCCCACATTTTTGAATGGGTTTTGTTTCACAATCCTCTCCAGGGTGCAGTTATCTCTCTTGCTTGTACACTTTTTTCGACCACATCTTTTCCTTCCCTTCGCCTCTCTATTAATGTGCTTGGACACTGAGCTCTGTGAACAGCCAGCCTCTTTAGCGATGACCTTTTGTGTCTTGCCCTCCTTGTGCAAGGTGTCGATGGTCGTCTTTTGGACAACTGTCAAGTCAGCAGTCTTCCCCATGATTGTGTAGCCTATAGAACTAGACTGAAAGACCATTTAAAGGCTTTTGCAGGTGGTTTGAGTTAATTAGCTGATTAGAGTGTGGCACCAGGGGCCATCAATTTTGAACCTTTTCACAATATTCTAATTTTCTGATATGATGAATTTGAGATTTTCATTTGTTGTCATTTGTAATCATCAAAATTAAACAAAATAAACATCTGAAATATATGAGTTTGTATGTAATGTATGAATATAATATACAAGTTTCACTTTTTAAATGGAATTACTGAAATCAATCTACTTTTTCATGATATTCTAATTTTATGACCAGCACCTGTATAGTGTTAATTTATAGTCTTATGCAAAGCGCTGTTCATTCTCCATGCTTTGCTTCTGTTCTTTTTATTTACTTACATAGAAGGCCATAAAAGACAAAGAGCTCTGATTCCTAACCAATATTCCAGTCACCTCCATGAGGATCTGCAGCAGCTGGACGCAGCAGCCCAGGAAAGACGTCATGGCTTTATCTCCGATCCCCACATCCTAACAGAAGCACAAATCATCAGTCTGTGCCCATAATGCCTCACGCTGTGTGGTTTCATCCTGAAACTCTGAGACAAACCTACCCGTCGACATAAGCGATCTTTGGGTGCTTTCCCCACCTTGGAAAATTGAAGCATATTAATTTATCACAGATTAAGATCCAATGCAGATAAAGGTGAAAACGACCTGTATGTTTGGGTTTACCTTCTCCATGAGGAAAGCAGCTGCTGAGAAACGCTTGACGACGAAAGTGCTCCACATCATTGAGGAAATACCTGCACAATACCAACGGAGGTTCATAAATATAAAACAAAAACATCAGATAACCTGTGTGAGAACTCCCTTTGTATTATGAAAAAGCAAAAAACTGACCTAGCTGAATGTGAGGACTGGAGATAAGCTTTAAATGTTCCACAGCGCTGAAGAAATATCGGGCCTCCTATATGCCGAAAAACAAATAAATGTAGTTTAATCTTCTGTATCTACAACAGATAAGCTGTCTGCAGCTTTTTTCTCCACTCTAGAAACAAACAAGACGTTAATATGAGAAAAGAGTTTTTTTTTTTTTTATTTCAAAACATTATTTATTAAACCATGAAAATTAAATTAGAGACTGTTGTTTAATAACGCTGTGAAGTAAGCCAATGACCAACGGAAGATGCTTTAAACATTGAGCATGTACCATAATATTCGGACTATAAAACGCAACTTTTTCCCCATTTTTCGACCTTGCGTCTTAAATAACAATGCGGCTTATCTATGGACTTTTACAGCTAACGGCCACTAGGGTAATACCTAAATCTATGGATTTTACCATCCACAATGTTGAATGCGGAGGTCCTCCGGAAGCCGACCGCGAGTGGTACGGACAGAACGACAGCGAGAAAGACGGACATTGCGAGCGCAAGACCGTTTGTGTTAAACATAAAAAACCTGCGGCTTATGGTCCGGTGCGGCTTGTATATGTACAAATCATGCAATTTAGCTTCTGCGGCTTATATTCAGGTGGGGCTAATAGTCCGAAAATTACGGTAGTCATTTTTATTAGTTTTCGCCCCTTCCCAAAATTACTTCAACGGAATGTTTCCAGATGGATATGCGGAGCAAATCCATCTGGCGGAGTCAGGTTACATCAAAGCAGCTCAGGTGTAATGAATGGTGAAAACCAAGTAAAACAAATGGAGTCTGCCATTAATTTTGGTACGGTATTTTTTCCCCAATTCCTTACGTTTTTTATGTGATTACTGGGGAGTTACTCAGAGGAGCTCCAGTTTTATAAAGTTTCCTTACTAACTTCTGGGCAACATACAGTATTTATGTTTTTTTTTTATTTGAGTTTGAAAGAATAAAGTTGCTAAATAATGAAATAATTGAAATACTTTTTATTTTATAATCGGTTATTGTTAGGGATGGGTACCGAACATCGGTTTTTTTATGGTACCGACCGAAATGCTTCGGTTCTACAGAGTATCGAAACATGCCTCGTCTTTCGGTACCAAGTTTCGGTGATTGGCTGTAACACTTAACGTGATTGCGTCATCCAGGAAAATTACATAGGTGGTCACGCCTACAGCCAGGGTTCATGTGTATCTGTTGTGAACTGGTTGCGAGCATCATGGAACCCCTTTAAAATGCCCCCCAGGTCAAAAGTGTGGCTTCACTTTATTAAGACTGATGCCAATAGTGCGCAATGCAATACATCGTGCACCGAAACAATTTAAGAGCAGAAAGTTGCTCGGTGTTTGACTGCAAAAAGAGCGGACCGCAGCCGGCGTGACCATCCTCCTCTCAGCAGCCCGTGGGCAGAGCAAAGCCAGAGCGGAGTGAATAATGCTGATTTCACACCGGACGCAGCAAGAGCAGCAAAATCGCGTCTGCTGCTTCCTTTTTGCTGCTTGTACCAGCTTCTGACGTGCGGCTGAAGCAGCTTTGCTGCTCTGGCTCTCTGACGCGCGTTGGGCGGAGCTACTCTAACCTTTCTTTGCCTTGCAGCTATATTTGCTGTGATCAGTGGGAATAAAGTAGTTTTATTATGTTTTTAAGTGGGAAAATCCACCTGAAAACTTAATCAGTGCATTATTTCTGTCGAAGCCGCTCAGACCCCCACATTACCAGCGGTGCTGTCAGTAGGATCCCATTCAACTGGCTTGTTTGTCTTCTGAGAAAGCAGACATGTTAATTTTTCTAAAGGAAAACTGCTAAGTAAAAAGGTCCTCACAATGTAACAGTGAATATTAGACACTGACTTGTTTGGAACTGTTATTTGCAACTGTTCTTCTTCACTGAAAAAAAAAAGTTATGTAAGCGGAAAAATGTAAATGGAAAAATCTGAGCTTAAAATAAAACTCAAGATTTTTACTTTATTATGTTGTGTAATTTTCTTTTTCTTCGAATTGATATTATAAAACTGGTATCGAAAAAAGTATCGTTCAGGAACCGGTATCGATCATCATTGATGAAATCAGGTCATTCAAAGCACAGGACAGAGATCCTATTCAAACATGTTTTATTCAGACGTAACTAATGTTGGGAAACGACCCTAAAGTCCAGTCATTTGTTCTGTCTGAGTGGATTTAGTAAGACGACTTCAGTAAATGATGAGTTGATCCCATAGTGAGGTTTTTCATTCTTTTTATCTCCTTTATAATCCTGTATATTTCAGACATAGGGCTGCTATTCATTTCACCTCCACAGTGAAATCTGAACTGTTAGAGAGCATTTGTGTACCTCTGGGTCTTTATTCCACTGCACTACATACTCCCAGCTGCAGTGGGCGAAGAGAAGGTCTGGAGACAAAGAATCTGGGAACCTTTGACAAACTGCCAACAACAGCTCTGAGAGAGAAAAAAACAACAAAGAAAGCGTTCAGAAAGTGATGATCTCTATTGATAGCAGCTAAAACTGATTAAGGTCTCTTCGTTGTCACCTGCTGTCCTGTCTGCCTCCTCATGGCTCCTCTTCTCTTCAGCTCCTCCTCCATCCCCTTTCTGCTTCTTTTCGTCTTCAGTTTCTTTACTCAGCAGAATTTCCTTCAGTCGCTCTGGCGTGATGTTCTGCCTGAACACCCACTTAGAAACACTGTCTGCAATACCACCTATCCAGATAAGAGAAAGAAAGAAACCCACAATATGATATATAAAAAGGGGAAATGCAGAATTTAGAAATAAAAGCTGCTAAACACACAGATATATTATTTTTATCTGGTCTGGGAATTTAAGGATGTAGCACTAAGAGAAAACAAAACAAAAAAAATCTCCCTAGAAAAAGCCTAAATCACCAGCATTATGTCTGACCTGTGCCTCCCTCCAGCAGAGTTTTGATTGAACACTGAACTACAGCGCCGCCTGCTGTTCCTTGAGGAGAAGGCACCAACAGAAGAGCTTGCAGGACCAGCATGTCCTCCAGCTGACGGACGCACACCACCCACTGCTCCAGCTCCAACGACACCGCCTCCCACTCTGATTGCAGCTGGAACACAGCAGAGAAACGCAGTGTTGGTATTTCAGCGCTCGGTACCTGACTGATAGCTTCCATGTTAGCAGGGAGACGCTCTACCTTGCTGTCAGCCCTGCTTGTGATGCTCGTCTTGGCAGCACAGTGAGCCACTAACGCAGCCAGTAAAGCAGCAGCAGCATTGTGAGATTGGATGCATGTTAATCGAACCTGCTGCCACCAGGGGGAGACAGACTGTGGATCCCAAGACTCCTCAACAGCCCCTAAAAAAAGAGGAAAGGAATATTTATATAAGTTTTGTTAAGCTTACTCCAATGACTCACTGTTAAGGATACAAACCTTCCATGTTGCTCAGGGCAATGAGCAGCGTGTAAAGCTGTTTGACTGTCTCTACAGGCTTCTGTAGCACCTCCTTCTCCCTTTGCAGCCATACGCTCATTAACAAAGACTATGGGTGTAAAAAACAAAAAAAAAACAAAAAAACAGGCATCTTAATAATAAACCCTTTAAAAGTTAAAGGAAGTAAAAGTTTCCAAATATCTACCACAGTGGGACACAATCATACCAGTAGCTGCTGTGGGCTGAAGCCGGCCAGCTGTAGTGTGTCACAGACTTTATGGGTGGGACTTTTACCACATAAGCAGCCCCAAAACAGAAAATTTCCTGTGAAGAACACACAACGACAAAGGTAGGATTAAAGACGGGACTTGGTAGATCAAGCAAACTTAAAAACACTGTCTGTATAAAAACAGGACTAAACACTGAACTTAAAACTTAACTTAAAAACAATACTAGACTAAAAGCTCCTTTCTGGGACTTTTCAAAGCTTTTGTTTGGACTTTCAGTCTCACTAGTTATTGTTGTCATCAGTCCAAAGAAAATAAACACATGTTGAAATAAAAAAAACAAAAATCTTTTATAAAAAGTTTTTTGAAAAGATGATGAGTATATGCTGCAGTGATACGATTATATATATATATATATATATATATATATATATATAAAAAAAATACATGTATAAAAAAAAACTATTCCCAATTTTCTGAACAGATCCCAGTTCTTAAATACAGTTAACATTATTTAAAGTAATTTTTACACTTCTTAAGGCCAATTTATGCTTCTGACGCATAGCCTCTGCAACCGTCAAATCTGTCTCTGTGCACGACCAAGCCCCCCGCGCAGAGGTTCTGCAACCGTCTTTGCGCACCTAAAAAAATCCCTGACTACGCGTCGGACGGTCGCGAGACTGCGCAGACCTCAAACGGAAGTGCGCAGACCAAAAGCAGCTGTGATTGGTCCTTGGTATGCCTTTCCGGCTGTCTGTGTGGTCGTCCTTCTAGATTCGCCATTTTTAAAAGCCGAGGAACAACTAGAAGGGACAACTACGACGAAAGGTTAATCGTTCTTTTTGCCAACTCCATTAACAGAACCTGTTCCTCTTCGATGTCTAGCGACTCTAGATCAATCTCTGTGACATCTTGCAAACGCGCCATTGGAAGATAAACACTCCCGCCGACGCTGCCGAAGTTCTTGTGACCATCTGCCGAAGTTCTCGCGAGTTCTTGAATATGCTCCCCCTTGCGTTTTGGTGGGAAACTGCAGTGCGTTCCTAGAAATTCCAGACCGACGGTGCAGAAGCATACCAGCAAAACTGTTCCCGACCAGACCCAAGAGACACATGATGTGTTGAAGAAGTATAATCTGCCGTTTAAAAGATGGATGGATAAAGCCTTAGTAATATACACCCGGTTAGAAACTCGGTAGTAAACAAGAATGTTTTTATGTGTTCAGTTCACTCAGAAGGAAAATAAATTTAAAATCAAAGATCCTGACATTAATGATGCAGCCTTTCATGATCTGTTGTGTGTTGATTAGTGATTTATACTCATACCTAACTGGTTCCATTCAGCGTCAGACCCACGATTCACCTTCACCCGTCCATCCTCGGTGACCTCCAGCTGAGTGAGGAAAGCCTGAGCGGACAGCGGCGTGTCAGGAGAGTCCTGCGCGAAAGACACCGACGGTTTGAAGCTGAGCTGTGCGTAGCGTTGCAAGGTGGGCTCAACACGCGACAACTCCTCCTCTAAGCCTTCGAGGGAATCCTGTTGAGTGGGAAGCGACAGAAGTCAGTGGACAGGATCACGTGTTTCCGGGACAAATAAAAACAATATTTTTTTCACAGACATTTTGAGAGCAGACGTCAGTGTTTGCTGCAGACTGCAGCTGCTGGATGTCCGTATAAAGCTGAAGCAGTTTTAAATGAGAGGAGCAGAGCTGGAGTAACGATGTCTCCACTTCATCTGCTTCTGTGGTGAAGAAACACAAGCTTGGTTTTATTTCAATAATTCACTTCAAACTGTACAATTTATTGACTGAATATTTCCTTTATACAGAAACCTGCTACCTTGCTGTTTCAAAGCATCATGTAAGGCACTGGTAACATTAGTAAGACAGGAAACTGGAGCATTCTTGTTTGACAGCAGAGACTCCAAAGCCTAAAGAAAAGCCAGAGTCAAGATAAAACGTCTATAAAGTCAAATTCATACAACTTTGATTGTATTTTCAAACCTGCTTCTTAATAGCCGGGTGTTTAATTTCTAACAAAGCGCTTTTTGCTTCTCTCTCCAAAGCATCTGCAAAGCAAGGAAACATTGACGGCTTTAGAAACTAGTCGGACTAAAAAAATTAAAAAATTCTTAAATTAAGTGTATTTAATCTTAATTTCAGCAGGTAAATAAGATGATTTTCCAATCAATCAATGAATATTTTTACTCTTAAAATAAATAATTTGCACTTAAAATAAGACAATGCAGTACTTTTTTTCTTGTTTTAAGTGTAAATTGTCTTGCTCCATTGGCAAAGTCGCTCACTTACCTCTTCAATTCAAGAAAAAATGCACTTATTTTAAGAAAAAAATACTTTTTTGCACTGCTCAGCTATCAGTTAGGTGTACATTACCAGGATCCACATCTCTGCTCTTCAACACGGCGCTCAGTCTCTTTAGCAGGTGCATGTCTTTAGCCCGCTCATTCTTTTTGTCACTGAGATTTAGAGGTGAGAGCGACAGAGGGTTTTTAGTATCATTTATATCATTTTATTCCCCAAAAACAGATACGTTATCATAGAGTATTTGATGAAAAAGACGAGATGAACGATTGCTTTGTTCCAACCTGAGGGCCAGATGGAAGGGGATGCTGATGGTCCTCAGAGCTCCTGTAGTGGGATCCAGGAGACACACCTGTTGCGTGTGCAGCTGCCAGCCCTGACTGGTCACACTGTTCACCCCCATCAGATGGTAGCCCGCATAAAGGAGTCTAAAAAAAATTGCACTGTCTGTATTTGCCGATTGAAACATGAAGCAAAGTTGCAGCTTTGTGTTTGTATGTTGGATTAGATGAGGTTTGAGTAAAGGTGTACCTGCAATATTTGCCTACAGTGAATGCACCGACTCGAGGGCCCCTCTGCATGGCCCACACCTCCAGGATCCCCCTACGGGGGGTGTAGATGATGAGGAACAGAGCGTGACGTCTGGGGAGTGAAGCGGAGGGGGAGAACTCCCGATCCCCACGCTCCTCCTGAACCTGCAGCCAGCCCAGCTGGGCGTCTCTGTACCCTGAAGTTCATACAGTTTGAGAGGAACATTTGGTGAGATAACGTCACTCCAAGTAGGAATGAAGAACATGGTGGGTTTTTTTCTCCCTTCACCTTTCCACATGCGGATGGTGACGCCCCTTGCCAGGTCCAGCAGCGCCACTCGACCAAAGTCATCAGTGACTCCAGCGAGCGTGTTGCAAGGCGACAGACAGATCGATTCGCCGTGGCGGCGGGAATCCGGCAGACCGAATCTAGAAGTCGAGGGGGTTGGGTTAAAGCATAAAGAAGAGGCTTTCTGATCTGATCCCGTCTGCATCCGGAAATCCTGGTCAGACCAACCTGATCCCTAAGGGGGTGGCAGGCTCCACTTTAGGTTTCTGTTTCTGAGCAGCTTCCTCTTCACTCTTGTTCTTGTTCCAACCCAACCAGCCACTGAGATTCAGAAGCAGGAGGGAAGAAAACATAAAACAAAACTGAGCTGTGAGCCATTTAGAAATGAATACAGTTTAAGGCTGAAATAATTAATCGGCTTAATCGTGATTGGTCGATTATTGAAATAATGGATTAACCATCAACTGGATTATAGAGACTGTAAACCATGCCTTTAGCTGACAAAGCGACCCACTTAGAGCAGTTATTATATCAAAATGTAAGAAAATATGTAAATATTTTGCATTTGCATTCTGTCAATAGGCTCTACTTGAACTCCTCAAATGGAAACATTTTAGCTTCATCTTGTTTAATTTAGTGAAAAAATATTTTTAAGGAGCCTTTGGTTGTCCGATAATTAAACGATCAATCGAAGATATAAAAGATGAATCGATTTGTAAAATAATCATTAGTTGCAGCCCTAATACTGTTAAAAAAAAAGAAGTAATGTCATCAGTTATTATAGACATGGTAACATGGATCGCAATCATGGATATGATCATATAATTTGATTTTTGAACTTTAAAAGGCCACTCTGTTGCCTTGTGGGTCTTTTCTATTTTACTGCGTCAGGATTCTTTTATTCAAATCAACTTTGATGGAAACGTTGTTAGCAAACATATCTGAACCTGGCAGCGTTGAAGAGGGCAGAGGTGAGTTTGCTGGCAACAGCCAGAGCCACGTGGGACAGGAGAGGCTGAGAGTTTCCCTGCAGAGACAGAGAGAGGCAGCTTTCTGCAGAACAGATCACATTTAAATATATTTACTTTATTTACCCATAGAAACACTTTCTCCTCTCACCTCCACTGCGTAATAAAATCCTGTGTATGGCCCCGATCCTACAGTCACAAACTGGCTCATGGCAGGGGGGCTTCCCTTGACTGATGCATGAAACCCCCCCAGGATGGATGCATTCTTCATTTGGTCAAACACACAAAGGGTCATTACGCCTACAGCCAGAGGACAGAAGAATAAAACTAGGTAAGTTTAACTAGGATCTCATGATTACAGAAGAAGAAGAGAGAAATAAAGCTTGAATTCTCACTTTATAAAGATTGTTAGCAGTAAATGAGAGCAAACAAGCTTCAAAGACAGAGATGTGATCTAAGCAGAACGATAACTACCCTTCTGAAGTATAATAGTGGATCTAAGTGACTTTTTATGTGATGTGGGGTTTCCAAAGATGTAATAACAGGTAAGCTATAACAGTTAACTACTCTAATCACTCGGCTTTAGAAAGTGAACTAATTCTCTCATTTTATTCAACTTTTGTTCTTTTCCACAAATGAAATGACATCATCTGGGACCTATCGGCCATGTTTAAAGTCACCTAAATCTGACATGTTTTTAAACTTAGCAATCTGTGATTTAAGTGCACTATTTTGCTCAAAATAGTGCAAAATACTCAAAATGGGGGAGGAAAATTTTTTTTTTTTTTTTAAATGCCTTAAAAAAAATCTGTAAAGCGAAGTAAATACAACTAAGTATAAATCTAATAACGAGTATTAAAGAAAAAAGGGTTGACTACGCTTTACAGATGTTTTTTAAGGTATTAAAAATAACTATTAAAATCGTGGAGATATTTGCCTGCTTTTTACTGCTTTTGTGTCCTACATTTTCATGATAAAAAATATTACATATGTTACACAAATGTTGATTAAAAAGAAGAATATTAAGGCAAATATTAGCAATGGATAGAAAGGATGGATTAGCTATGCTTGTGCCTCAGATGTTCTCTAGGAAAGCTGCTGAATGTGATCAGGAATTGTCATGAAATATCAGTTGATACAGATACAAGAAAAATAAAATATATACATATTTTGGCCAAGAATTTAGGCCGGCTGATTTATCTGTCCATGCTGTCTAAAAGTAGAGCCTTTAAATAACTTCAAATACACCGTCAAAACTTAACAGACCTCAGAACATAATCTGATAATAATCTGTTACTTTAAACAGAATTTAACACTGAAATAAATTGAGGTTTTTATGCACTCATGTTATACATTGAATTTTTAAATTAAAAAAATATTTTTTGAAAAATAGAACGTTTTTCCATTTTAAAATATAAAGTGTTTTTTTTTAAGTAGAGAACAACAATTGTTCAGTTTGGTATATAGACAATTTCCTGATTCCCATGTTTTATAAAACACCTGAACTGACTGTTTGTTATTTTATTTTTTTTCTGTCTTAATGTTCGCAGTGGGCTTTATGCTGCCCTGCATGGCTTTAAACCTGGGTTTGAATGGAGACAAAGCCATTCTCAAGCACATATCAAGGAGCTCATTTTGAGCCTGGATCCATATTTATCTTTGATTCTGTTCATGGTGGAGAATCCTGCTTCACAGCAGCAGGTTGAGCCAAACATCCTCTAAATGTGCAGGGTCATCTTTGAGCACGCCATTTCACTTTTCTGTCACCAGTTCACTGTTGTTCTTCCAGCAGTCCACACTTTCTCTGCTCTCTTTTTCTCATCGTCTTCTCCTTCTTTCCCATCGCCCGGCTTGCCACAGGTTTGCCTGCTGTGTGTAAAAGTAGCAGCAGCAGCAACCAAGACTGACAGCAGCTCATTGGCTGATTTGTATCATGTGTAGCCTGGTGCCGGTTGCTCCAGAGGGCTTTACCATATTAACAGGAGAAGCAGCGCAAGTGAAGTTAGACATTGTCGTCGGACATCATGCGGTAATTTATAAATGTTTTAGATCAGGTTGGGTTGGATTAGCCTGCAGGTGCGTCCGTATCCGGACTGCGGCCCGCTAATCCGTGACCTCTGATATAGGTCAATGGAAGCTGGTCAGATTTAATACCAGCAGTAAACAACAGGATGTAGGAAAACCTGATGGATGTTGCAAAAAAATGCAATTTACTGGAAAAAATTTTTTTTTTAACTTTCTCATGTTTCTTTAGAAGTTAGCTTTAATATTTTAAAGGAAGAACCATCCTGAGAAAAAAATGGCAGTTTGAGTCACTTATTACCTGCGCTGCTGTGGTCCACGATGGTGTCCATCTCCTGCAGACCCCACTTCTTGTAGGCCAGAGGAGGAGGGGGGACCACATCGCTGCCGGCTGCTGCAGCTACAGCCAGAGAAATAAATAAAAAAAGTGGGCCCTTATTGACGTTAACGCCATGCATTAATGCCAGACTCTTATCTATTCTCACAGTTGGGCTGGGAGCTGGGTCTATACTAATGATGACTTTCATCCTGGTAGTTTAGCGGGGATGTATATCAGGGTGCGAGAACAAGTCAGTCTTCCAACCTGTGTAGGCGTACTGTGAAATTACAACATCGAACTTGTCGTGCTGACATGGATGCAGCTATAAGCACAGCTCTATCAGCCAAGCTAACCTATCACCCCGCTCAGGGGATAGTCACAAGTTGCCGGCCTATCAGCTCGTTCTCCAGGTGGCCATAGGTGACCCATCTTAAACTACCTGCGAGGCAAACTATCATGAGGAGGAAACATGACCAGGAGAAAGCAGCAAAAAATGAGAAGTTGGTCGTCTGTGTCAGATTTTTGGAGACACTATATTGTTAAAGTAATTCCAAGATTACAGTGGCATTAATCTAGATTAAAAAAAAAAAAAATCTATGCCCACCACTAGTTTCAAAACAATCAGTTCAGTAACCTGCATGGCATTGTTTTCATGCCACCTCTGAATCCCCCACTCTAACATATGAAAATAAAACACTTTCTGCTTTAAAGGGGTCATAGAATGCATAGCAGAGTTTACATTGTCTTAGATGTATAACGATAGTTCAGTGGGTGAAATGAACGTACAGAGAAGTTCAAACTTCCACCACAAAACAGGTGAATCCAAACGAAGGACCGAATTGACATAAACTCAGGGATGTTGACTTATTTGGTTCAGGCCTGTACTTTTGTCACGCCCCGAAATTGACATACAGACTAGCACACTGGTTCGCTGCCCTAGAACATGAATAGAGGTAGATGGAAAACACCGGTTTAGCTGTTTAGCCCACAGTTGGGTTCACTTCTACAAGAATTACAAAGCAGGCAATTTCTCCAGGCTGCACGGAGAAAGGGGACATTTTTCACAGTCTTCCCAATGATCCGAAGACTCGACAGGCATGGATTATTTTTGTATATCAGAAGATCCCTGTAACGTTTGATGCTCAGCTGTTCATTTGCTCTGAGCATTTTACCAAAGACCACTTTCAAAATCTTGGACATTTCAAAGCAGGATTTGCTAAATTTCTTTTACTGAAACGAGGGGCTGTTCCGACCGTAAGGCCATCACAACCGCAGCTGGAAGTATGATTCTGTCGCTAAGCTGCCCAGCATCTGAGTGGACCGGACTGGGCCCCAGCGGGGGGACGTAGTGACCGAACCCAACCCGGTGACAGTATGCTTCCCCACGGGGACACCGTTGTCCAGGCTACTGTCACCGTGACTGGTTCGGTCGCTCCGTCCCTCGCTGGCTCCCTGTTCCAACTACGTGCTGCACTTTAGTAGACCAAAATCGACTACAGACTACCGCGCGGTTAAGAAAATTCCCCACTTCCCAGACATTTTTTTAGGTAAGAAAAGTAGGACATATCCGGGAAAAAGAGGACGTCTGGTCACCCTACCATATCACTAATTTTAATGTTTCAGTGAGTGAGTGCTTGTTGCTATAATGCGTCTTTGCTCAGCAGCTTCTCTCGTTGTAAACCCACCAATCGGTACAGCTAATCTAAATATTCATGAGCATACTTCAAAAGGAAGAAAACCTGTCGTTTCCTTCTAGGGCTTATATCCAGGCTTGCATTAGGGCTCATAGAACAGCAAATATGCCATTTTCAGCCCAACCAATGTTACACGCCTTATTCAGAGACCTTAAGGACCAGCACCAAATACCCTATAGAATCATTCTAGGACACCTTTCAGGCCTACAGGTGGATAAATTACCCCTCAGCAGTTGAACACACCCATACGTCTTCCAAATGATGTAACTGCAAATCTAAACAAATATAAAAAAAAAAAAAAGCTTCTTTTTCAAATGCATGGCAGGACAGGACACTATTACTAAAGAGCTTTTCCTAAACAGCCCTGCAGCTACTAGATGCCACAGTCTTCAGAGCATTTGAAGCTAAAATCAAAGCTGCAGATCTTTACAAGATAGGGATGAAACAAGATAAAAGATTTGGGCTGATATCAACCCACTTTTCCTTATAGTGCAGAGAATGATATGTTGTAATTAACATTAGTTGAATCCAATGCAGCTGTAGCTAATCTCACAGCACTAATAAGCTGCTAAAACTTGCCTAAAGAATCTGTGAAAATAAAACCAGAAGCCTTAGTTATACCTGAATTCCTTGAAGCAAAAACTAGATCCACCCAGCCAGCAAGAGAAAAACACATCTACAGTTAATACTGAGTAACAATTAAGGCTGCACCATGTCAGACACCTCTCTGTTATGCGTAGGCACGCCGCACTGCTGCAGCGCACCAGACAGAAAGCAGCTGTACCTCTTGCCACCTGGTTCCTGCAGGCCCGCAGCGACTGAAAGAGGCTGAAGCCGTCGATTGTGACCAGAGCAGCAGGATAAAGGATGCTGAGCTCCTCGTGCTGCAGAGGGAGATAATAAGTTATAGGAATGACATCAAAGCCCTGAAAGAGCTGTGTTGATGAGTGAGGGATAGAAGTCACCTGTTCAGTCACGCCAGGATGACGAGGGATCTCATAGGTGCGACATTTGAGCCTTAGAACAGGGTCCACATGTAGCAGCTGGGCCAGGAGCAAAACCCCACTCTGATATGAGCACATAACGGGAAGAAACACTCTAAATATGGCCGGCTTTTACTAGAGATGGTAATACCTTCATTTAATTATACCTCTGTGTAGAAGCGGACATATCCAGATGTGAATCCAACGACTATGCATGTCCAGTCAGGCCGTCCGGTGGAGCTCCTACAGCCCAGAAGTATGTTTATATATTTTTTGACCTTTTCTATTTTCTTCTTTACTCACAGGTACGTAATTCTCACCTCTTCTGGCTGGCCAGGGGGATAGCGATCACACTGCTGACACTCTCTCTGGAGAGAAAGACGTTAATCTGTAGATTAATAACAATTTGTACATCAATAACACGTCTACAGTCAGCGTTTTGACCCTTTCTCACCCTTCTTCTGTGCTGAGAGTTCCACTCCAGGACACAGCCAAGGTCATCTCCTCTCTGCCGCTCTGATCTGTGCGCCACTTTGCTGTAACAAGTAAAACACTTTGCAATTGATACGGAGCTCCTAATACAGAGATGATCATAGAAGGGAGTGTGATGGTTTAAATTTTCCGACCTGAGAGGAAGACCGCTTTCTGTTCTCGAGCGACCACCAGCAGGTCGGCGCAGGGAGACAAGGAAACGACGCAGTCCTGCAGCCAGGGTTGGCTCTGCCCCGGTGGCTCCTCCTCTGCCTACAGAGGACAGCCGGTGATTAAAGGTGAAGCAAAATATCAGCAAATCTGAAGATGCTTTGGGACCTTTGAAGTTTCAAACATCTTCTATGTTTCAGCTTTTCCTGGATGTAATGCAGACCTTTGAGAGAGACGTAGACTCCTCCTCCTTATTGTCTCCATTATCCCATCCTGATTCCCAGTCAGAGGTATCCCAGGACAGCTCATTCTCTTCTGAGAGAGAGAAATGTCAGGTTGAGGGAAACCCATAGGTCTGGATTTACCAGCAATCATCACAATGCTTTGACGACACAATAATAATAATCAAACATGCCCCTCGATGAGCCAGATTTGGAAGAATATTGAGTGAAAACTTTAAGAATTTGAATCAGATTCTTATGTAACAAATTATTGAGGGTGCAGATAAAAAAAACAATAACCTTTGCCTCATGAATGTTTTCAAAGTACAAGGCATTAACAGTAGTGAAATTTTAAACAAAATAGTCAATTGCTGCAAAAAAAAACAAATCTAATCTGAATGGTTTTAACTTTGGCAAAATTTTCTTACGCTTTATTTTTTTTGTCAAAATCACCCAGTTTGGCTTATAACAGCTTTCCTTAAAAGAACTGTACTCCATATTATTGCCTTATATTAAGTATTAATATTTCCTGTTTTCAGACATTATGTAAATTCTTAACTTTGACAAAAAGGGATCATAAAATTTTTTTCAAACAACTCTTTAGAGACTAGAGATAAACCCAAACATGGTTTGCGACAGAAATACTAACTTCCCACGTGACTTAATATTTTCAGTTTGTAATAAAATTAAGAATTTTTTTTCTTTTAAACGTTCTGACATTCGTATGATCATCTCCGTGGGAGACCTGGTCTATAACTAAGCCACACAGCATCCTGAAATAATACTAATTCTATCAGTATGATTTTTATTACCGTCTCCCTCTAAACTACACTGAGATGTGCAACCAACAAGCCACTTTTAGATCATTTAACTTGGAGATGCACTTTATTTTTGTACCACATAAAAAACACAAGAGTTAAGTCAACATTTATTTTTAAAAGAAAATAAGACAAGGCTGATAAACTTTGAATTCTTCTCAGTTTGATCACCTATAAATCAGAAATGTTGACACTTTAAACAGCGATTCCACTTAAAGTATTCTTTCATAACTTAGTGTTATGAAAAACTATAACTTAGTTTCATAAAAAGTGTTTACTTTTCTACTTTATAGCATGGAGCTATACTTGATTAAATCAGATATGCAATTTCAGGCAGATCTTGCTCCTAAAACCCTGAGAGCTTAAAAGTGTTGAGAACATTAAGGGTAGAAAAAAAGGTAAAGCAAGTACCCATGTGGAGGTGACATTATGGTTTGGGATTATTCAAATTATAATGTTTAATAAAGCTAAAGTAAAAATGCTGGCAGAATAAGTTGTCAATTGTTCTGTGACAGCAGCAATACCAACAACATGATGTATTAGTCTCATGTTAAAAAAGGGCTCCAAGCAGCAAACAACTTTTTTTTTTTTTTTTTTTTTTTTTTTAACTACAAACATTAAACACAAATCTCTTTGTTTCAGAAAAAAAAAAAAATATTAAAATTACAAAACAAAATTGACCCCTGAATGATATAGAGCCGTTATCAAACCTAAGCCTAGAGAGAGTATTTTATTTCAAAATAAAGGGTATTTCTTCTACCCTTTGCACATCCAAATGGTATCATAGGGAAGTCTTTTCCCATCAGGCACCAAACAAAGCCAGTGGCGGTTCTAGACCAAATGTACCAGGGGGCCAGGAGGGGGCCAGCTTGTTTTCATGGGGGCCACATAAAAGTATGAAATAAAACACAGGGCAAGGGATTCAAATATGTTAAGTTGGCTCCATGAAGTGAAATTTCTATTAAATTAGGTTTAATCAAAATTCTATGTCTTATTAGGTCAACATCTATTTATAATTTATGAATTTTACATATTTTTGACTTAATTTAAGTTAAAAATACCGTTTTCTATACATTAAAAATATTCAAACTCAAGAAAAACTGATAAATTCAGCTTTAAAATTTTTTTTTTAAATTTGTTTTCAAAAAAACATTTAGCAAATGAAAACTGGGATCCTATCTCAATAGCACTGAAGCTACGGTATTACCTTATTGTTTTTAAATACATAGCAAAACTTAATTTGTAATGATAAAAAATTTAATAGATCCAAAGGACCTATCATTTACCATGTCTGTTACATTACATATCACCATTAGAATTTCTTTGATTATTATGTCTTCAGTACAGGGGCCATAACAGGAGCAAGGACATGATCTACAGGGGCACTGGCCCCTGTTGGCCCCTCTCTAGAACCGCCTTTGTTTGGCTTTGTCAAACATAGAAACATCTGGATGGATGACTCAAGTAGGGGGCTAGTATCTCAGATAATATAGTTAATAAAGAAACAAACGTATTCATCGATTTAATCCGGATGAACTTTTCTTGTGGGTCGTATCAGACTCATCATCTCGTTATTTAATGAAGGGTAGCAGCTTGACGCCAACAGGGCTCTCTTCTACAGCGTTTAGCTTAGGTAAAAATCACCTGTTTGATTCTTCTCCTCCAGGGACTCTTTACTCTGGTTCTGGAATAAGAAGTCTCGGACTGTTCTGAGCTCTTGGAGCCGACAAAACTCAAACAAGCTGCAGGACATCCCTCTCCTCTCCTCTCCTGTCAGGAACCGAGGAAGAGTCGATGAATAGTTAGTTAGCTTCCTTGCTAACTGTCCAGAAGACACCAGCGCTGCTTGTGTCCACTTCCGTCTCCGTGTTTAAGTTTATTACAATCTGCTAGCTAACGAATGCTTCTTATTTATCTTGTAATATCCTTTAGACAACTATTAATAACTGTCCACTGAGTTTATTTGGCCCATAATCTGCAGCTTCCACCCAAATGTGTTGATGACACATCATTAGCATAACAACGTTTTTCTGTTTCCGGGTTGAAGCGGTTCACGGCCTTTCACAATAAAAGTCCACTGGCTTTAAATTTCATGTCAAACACAAAAGCTGTTCGAGTAAACCGCAGGTTTAATAACTTGCGTCTTTTTTAAACATAAAAAAACAAAAACTTTTTATTCAGGGATGTGATCACCGATTATCTGTTGATTTTGCTTTTTGTGCCTTTTATTTTGTGTGGTATTGTATTTTTTGTTTTATTGTGAAGACACATCTAAAGGGGGAGAATTATCATTTGTTAAAATGTTGTAGTGTGTAACACAAGATCACGAAACATACTTGTCCCTATTCTAATTAATCTAACTTTAAAAAAAAAAGTCTGAATTTTCTTGTCATTTTTCAAACTTTTGGGTTAACAGCTTATTGTATGAACACTTACATTTAAAGCCATCCTTAAAGTGATTATCTATTTTTACTTTACTAAGATTATAATCATTGGCTCAGGTAAAGTATTAAACTCGCAGATCTGTATAAACTAAAAAACACTGCAATACCTCCTCTTGCACCGCTAGAGGGCGCTGGAATCACGAAGAATTGTAATTCCATCACTTTTTATTTCCTTCCAAAATAGGCTTTATTCGTCAAATTTGTGCAAATAAAGGACATTTCCGATATGTTCCCTCTTTGCTCTGGTTAAATGCTTTTTATAAATGGATATAAAACAAATTAGATAAAATGTTTATATTGTTAGTCTTTTTTTTTTTTTACTGAGCTAAAATTGTCCTGTAATGGACTGGTGACCCATCCATGGTTTGCCGCACCTTTTGCCAATATAATGCTGCAGATAGGCACCAGCCAGCTGGCCCTGGGAGATGTGGAGTCAACAAGTCATCTCCATGCCATGTATGTGTTCCACCCAGCCACTAAACCAGGTGAGTCCAACCTGGGCCATTGAACCAGGTGAGTGTGATCTGGGCTGGGTAGAACACAGATGACTTGTTGACTCCACATCTCCCACATCATGGATGGGTGACAGAAGTGGTTCTAGACAGGGGCCAACAGGGGCCTGGACCCACGTAGAACTAGTCCTGGCCCCTTTCATGGCCCCTGTGCTGAAAACACATAACAAAGTTGATGCAATTGGTAGATGCAATTATTTAAAAAAAATATATACTTGTTCAGAACTGTTTTTGCGGTGTAAGTAAATCAATTTCTAATGATCATATGCAAAGACAGATAAGACTTCTACTGATTTGTACCTTGGAACAATTTAATATTTTGCCTGGACAGTTTACTTTAACAATTATTTAGAACTTGCAAACAGTTGTAGCTTCACCTGAGAAATTATCGCAGTTTTTATCTGTCAGATCAAGTGTGCAACCTGGGCTTTATGGCTCATTTATGATACTAAACACTTTTTTTGTGTGTTTGTTTGTGTTATTCTTTAGTTATTTTTTTATTCTAAAAAAAAACAACAACAAAAAAACACCGGCCCCATGTTGCCCCCCTGACATATTTCGTCTAGAACCACCACTGATCGGTGAGCCCAGATACATTGATGCTCAACATCAAAAAATAATTTAAAGAACATATTTCTCAGTCAAAATTTTTAAAGTCATTGTGTGACCCGATATAAAAGTTCAACAACAAAAAAAAGAAAACAAAAATAATTTTTTTAGCTCATCTTTCCACCGCAGCATTATTTTAAGTGTTCCTCTTAAATACATACAAAGGTGTAAATGTGTGTCTTTGAATATTTTGGAATAACCTATCATAAGATACAAAGAATCACCATCTGGAGTTTCTTCACATGTATACCCTAAATAAAAAATCGCAAAGTATGCAAAAAAAAATCTATTACTATCTATTACTGTAAGCAAATAGGTTTAAACAGCTTTTTGGAAATTGGGTTTGGAATAGATTTTCCTTAAAAGAGATGGCCGTCTTTTTTCATTTTCAATTTTGAAATGCGCTTGTTTGGAAAAGTTAGCCAACCTCATGTGCAGAGTCTCAGTAGACATACTAAATGCTAACCACTGTTAACATGCGTGTGAGGAAATCGGATGGTTGTGTTTTATAATGTAGTTTTATGCAAATCTATTTAGAGAGAACAACAACAAAAAAATTCAAATTTGACATTTGTAATTTGTAACCCCACAAGGAAGCATCTTGCTCTTTTTGATTTAAAACACATTTGTTTATTGATGTTTGAGATCAGCCTGTTTTTCAGTGTAGTCCTGTTTCTCTGACTGTGATTAACTGGATGTGCTCTCCTCATCCTCTGACATGGGAGCTGGCTCGGAGCTCGTCTGCCTGGCTGTGTGTTGTCTGGACGGGGCCGCCTTTTACAGCTGCTTTTTCTATCTCTGCTTCTGTCTCCTTGAACCCCAGTCGGCCTCAGCAGATGGCCGCTCACACTGAGCCTGGTTCTGCTGGAGGTTTCTTCCTGTTAAAAGGGAGCTTTTCCTCTCCACGGTCGCAACCAGCATGCTTAGTGTGAGGGATTGCATTTGGGTCAATGAGTCAATGCAATCAACTTGTTTACCTTAGATAGAAAACTTTAAATCAATTTGACTGTATGATCTGGTGAACTGTAAAGTGCCTTGAGATGACGTTTGTTTTGAATTGGCGCTATATAAATAAAGTGAATTGATTTGATGGTCACTACTACTGCACTGTATCCTGAGAACCTAATGCTGTAAACATGAGTGGCTGCTAGTGGCATTGTTAAACCCTCTACACCTTTATTCCTCATCCTTTCATGCTCTTAAAAAAGCTGTGGGCAACCTGCCAGTGAACTCCTTGTATATTCATTTCTAAATTTTACTTACGCTCACATCCACCGAAAATACACACATGCATCCAGAGAACAGTGCATGCACACATGGATATTCAAACCCAAACCCAGCCTCTGGGGGGTGCCCAAAAGTTTCCGGACCGGAAGGCCAGACACAAAAACTCAGGAAACAATTGGGTGTCAGAGAGGTCCTTGGACTCCTCGTGTTTCCTCATCCTGTGCCGCCGCTTCTTGAACTGTTGTTGTGTATTCTGTTTTATGGGCGTGGCAACGACGCTCCATCTGGTTCCCCCTTTTCCTTTGTTGACAAGAAAACCAGCTGAGATGCTCGGATGTACCGATGGCACACAAAGAGAGATGGCATTGATTGATTGAAGCATAGTGGGAGTTTGAAAACCTTGAGTTTTGTTTTCCAGACTAGGAGTTGCTTCCGCGAAAATGTCCCATTTAAGGTACAATCTTTACTTTGTTTTATTTGGTCTGGTAGAGTAACATAAACTGCCATATATTTGTGAAAAGGGCAAGCAAACATGCATTTAACATGAATCAATTGAGGAATATAAAATTTAGATGTTCTGGTCCTGATTGGACTCCAATCAGAGGGGAGAGTCTGAAACAGTTTGTTAATTCTTTAGTATTGAGATCAAAGTGCTGGTGAAGATTCTCAGTCATCCAGATCATTGTCATTCCAAAAAAAGAAAATTAAAAACAATCCACCGGGCTTTGTTTTCAAGTTTGAAGACGTTTCGCTTTCATTCCAGGAAGCCTTTTCAATTTAAAATGTCAGAAATAGCGTTGATTTTAAATGTGTATAAACCTGCATTTAATAACTATTCGTTCCATATTTTTTCTTCCAACAGTTTACATGTAGGAAACAGAAACTGTAAGGGACAGAAATGACTTATTTATTTCGTAGAAGTTTAAAAACAATCCACTGGACTTGTTTCCAAGATTTGAAGACGTTTCGCTTCCCCTCCAGGAAGCTTTCTCAATTCAAATGTCTGATGACTTATGTAATCGGATTTTATGTGAACAGTCCAGACACTCCCTGGTTTAAACCCTTGTGAGCTAAAGCCTTTATGAATCTAAAATTAAAACTTATAAGCTGAAATATAATAGCCAGGAAGAGTTTTTGTGGGTTTTCTTGGACTATTGTAGCATGTCATTGTGAGATGATGCTCTCACTTTGGTTCATGATTACAGGCTGTACCGTCCCGTTCAACATGTGTGTGTAATATTTCAGCAGTTCCTCACACTTAGTGTCAACTTTCCACTCTGCCTCTGCTCTGCTGATTTTTCGCCTTTTAAGATTGACCCATCAATCCAGTTAGCATATCTTTGGTGTTTTTTCAATATGAAACCTTATAATCATTGTAGGTGGAAGGGGTGATGACACCTGGACTAAAGTTCACACACAGTTGTTTTATGACAAATAAAAACTGTTCTCTGATCTCCTTAGAGGAACTGTCAAGATGTTTGCTGACAATAAGTAACTTAACCCTTTTTTTTCAATCGCTGTTTTAAGTGCAGATCCTATCAGTCCCTAAACAAAAATGAGGCATGTTATCTCTAGATCTCTGACCCTGATCCTGCAACTAAACAAAATCGTCCCTGCTGATGTGACCCTGATCCTGCAACTAAACAAAATCGTCCCTGCTGATGTGGTAGATTCGCCGCAAATGTTCTTTTTTTCCTGTTTCACCCATGGCTGTCGCAGCGGAATAAGAAGTCTTTAAAAGCAAGAAAAACAAACTTATTGAGAAAAATTTTCAGTTTGAATATTATTTTGAATTGAATCACAGAAACTGACCAAGACTATTCTAAGATAAGACGTTTCTCTTTTACCAGTCCTCATGCACCTCCCAAGCTAACATTAATCTGAAGATAAGAGCATGGTTCATTTGATAAAGTAGTTTTGATAAAGTCTGAAACCAATGCATGCCTTAAACCTCCCTGCTCTTACAGGCCTCATTAAAAAGACTCAATAAAACATTGAAAGGCTTAGGCCCTGAGATTGTTTAGTGGGAACATCTGTGTGATTTTGCGTTTAGTTTTTTAAATCTTTTATTTAATTAAAATATGATAATCTGAAATCTTGATGAATACTTTGAATTAATAAAGAAAAAAAGAGAATAATAGCCTGAAATGAAAAAGTGCACAAATCTGGTTTTACTCGCTTAATATTTTGTTGAACTTCTGAGACATTATTCTCAGTGTTCAATCTTTTAAGA